AGGAATACATTACGGCGACGCTAGCAACTTTGTTACTTAGGTTGGAATAAATTGAGACCCCCCCTAAATGAAAAAAAAATCACTGCTTCCCCCCCCACCCCACCAAAAAAAACACACTTTTGCGCCAGCGATCCCGGAGTGTGGATGACAAACTCCTGCGTGTCCTTGTCGTACTCTGCCGTAGTCTGCATCTCCACGGCGTTGTTACCTGCGATTCAATCCCCAAACCCCCCGTGGAATATTGAGCCCAGCATGTGGTGGGTTTCTTCCAGTTGAAAGGCTCAGGGCTTCCTAAGAGACATAGGGCCCCTTCGCCGCCCTCCACCGCAATCACCAAAAATCAGTATATACCCACCCCCCTCTCATACTTTGATGATCCTTTCCCTCCCCTCTCCCTTACCTCCATTTGCTTTTCCCTCCCTCCCTTTCCCCCCCTCCGTTCGTCGTCCTTTGCGTCATCATTCGGCAGTTTTGCCTCCTTTCATACCTTCCCCCCCCCTCGCACGTGACCCCCTCCTTCTCTTCCCCGTCTCAAGGGCCCCCCTCCCCCCCCGTGTCTCTTACCAAAGCCCAGCTCCGTGAGCGCGAAACAGCCCACCGCGTCCAGCTGGTCAATATCGCGAAGGAAGGCCCCGTGGTGGCGCTCGGTGCCCAACTTGAGCACGGTGCCGCCAAACTGAAAATCACCGTCATCATGATCATCATGTGTTGTTGTTGTTGGTGATGGTGGTGGTGTTGGTGGTGGAGAATAAGCACAGGCAAATATATACTTATGCAGAATACATTACACAAGTTGGAGGGCGGGGAAAGAAACACATGTACATACACACGCACACAGCGATCATATAGTAATCAGGAGCAGAAGAAATGATTGCTGGTAGAAGCCGGCGGAGAGGGTGCAGTGGGAGGGAATTCGAAAAGGTCGTCTCCTTGCGGGGTGTGTGGTGGTGGTAGCGGACTCTTCGTAGGACCCAGATGCAGGGGGTGCGTGAGGAGTGGGAGGGGTTAGGATGTCGGCGATGTAACTCTTGGGGGTCAGCAAAACCATAAAATCGACCACTATAAAACTGTAAGAAAAGCAGAATCTCTCTTAAAAACCGTAAAAACTTAAAAGTGTGATAAAGCTGAAAACCTAGATGGGGAACCTAAACCCAAATCGAAACCCACCAAGTTGAACTGCACTGTCATCTTAGTGCCCATGCTCGGGTCGCACAACGCCGCGACCTCGTGCGCGGCAAAGATGCGAAATGGGTTTGTGCGGAAATCCGTAACGCTGATGAACCCCGCGCGGCACACGCGCTTGAGCCGCTGCAGCGCCAGCTCGCGCTCGTCACGCAGGCTGATGTCGTACTGACTGCAGTACATGTTGTGAAGAGAACGGGGAACAAAGGGATGGGTCAGCGGGAGCGGCGTGGCTGGGTGTGTTTCGTAGTAGGCGTGTGGTATGATATGTGTGGGCGTGCACGCAGTGGGTATGCATGTGCGTGAGCTACCGGTGCATGCCATGCGCAGGAAAAGGGGGATGTTTACGCAAAGTCAGGGAAAAAAAGGGGAAAGGGTGGACTTAGGCTTGCTAACGAACAAAAGGCCGAATTGTAGAGCCTTTGACTGGCAAAGCTGTTTCCTGATGCCCTGGCCCAGTCGGTCGCATATAGCAACACCGATAACGTACAGATGGTCAAATCTCAAAAGCAGAGGTGAAAATTAAAAGCCGTGAAAACATTCCGTAACACGCTGACTAGACTCTTACGCAGGGCTGTCCTGCCAAGCACTCCTGAAACACGCGTCCTCACGATTAATTAAGCCTATGAAAGTTTTACAGAGAGCATCCGGGCAATGGAACTCACGGAACGTAGAGGTCGTCATTCATGAACTCCTTCATTGCCTGCCGGTGCTCATGGTTGTCATGATCTAAGATGCGTTGCAGCTCCTTCACGTCAAATGGATAACGGGATGCTGACGGCGGCTTTTCCACGCGAAAATGACCAGACACTACACGGAGGCGCCGAGTGGCATCGTCCATGGTTGGGTAAAGAAGCAGAAGTGCGAGAACAGTCCTTCACAACCAATAGAGCAAGGAGGATGGTGTTGGAATGTGTGCTGAAGAAAGAAACCCGCCTTTTTGACTACGCGGACTAACGGGCCAGTCGGTTACGTCTTAGCCACGTCAGCCCTAATTTTTCGGGATTGGATTCGCAATAACTGTCCCTTAAGAATTGGATATGCAGGAATGCCCAAAGAAACTTCATCCTTTTGTGCACAGAGGATACACCCACTCCATCTGGAGCTGGAGCTGCCCATCCGTGGTTTTCGGCTGAACCCCCGCGGGTGGACTTTCCTCTACTTGCCTTGGTGGCTTTGCCGAAAACCTTTGCTACCCTTTTGATTCCTAGACAATGGTAGACGATGAAGAGTGTGTTCGCAGTTCTTGTGTGAGTTCGGTACGACCGTTACATAAAGGACCCTTAAAGGACCCTTAAGGCAGTGAGACCGGTGTCAGCATGAGCTCTATCAAACTTAAGAGAAACATTCCTTTTGGTTATTGTGCATCAAAATTCCTTGCTATGTGTTGAAGCGCGGAGGCGATCCTCGAGTCCCCTCAGAGGTCGCCACGCTCGTGTTGAAATCAATTGTTTATACTCCTTTTTAGTTATGAGGCCTGTGTTGTTCCTAAGAGTAGCCCTGGTCAACCAATGCCGCGGACCTCGTCCAAGCACGTGAATGCGCAGCATGATTGGTGAGAGCTAGGTAATACGATCTAAAACCAAATATAAGCATTTCGACATCCGACGCACGAGCAATCTCCATGCACGTAGAAGGCACTTTTTGCACGTCCTGTACCGGTGGTCCACTCCTGGCGGCGTTTTTTCCTGATACGTCCACTATGACAACATCACAGGTTATGGTGCTGCGAGCACGCAGCTTCGGACGACTTTCAAGCAGCTCTTCGCTTGTTACAGCCTCTTTTGCCGCTGAACAGTACAAGTTGCTGCTCCCTGCGCCCAGCTGAGATGGACCTAAGATCCACCTGCGCAACAAACAATCCAAGCGGCGACGCTATTGCGGTGCGCGTCTGGCTCGGTGCCGGCGGCGCATCGTTGTTCAGGCTGCAGGTCCACACTCTCACCGGCAGCGCGATCCCCCTCGGCAGCGACGACGAACCAATTTTTGAACTCAACATAATGACAGGTACGTCTCAATACACTTGGCACTTGCTGCGCCATGCTGCTGAGCATCCGAAAGCGCTGCAAAAACGTTGCTTCCCATCAAACCTTGTCCGCCAACCAGGCACCCGCCACTTACTTTGGAATCTACGCATCGCTTTTCAACCCTGCTGCCCGCCTGCTACCGGACCTTTCTCGGGCCATTTGGGTCAAGCCTGCTGACTCTCGTACTTTCCCTCCGAAACCCCTTCTTCCAGGTGCTACGATCCGCCTCCACGGCATGGCCAACTACGGCGTGGCGTCCTATTGTGCCGCTCTCGGGCAAGCTCTGGACGCCCAGCACCAGCTGCTACAGCTACAGACTGGCGACACACAGCTACAGCTGCAACCGCTAGCACCGCATCAAAACCATCAGGGTCACCAACAGCAGCAGCAGCAGGCAGGCCGAGCCAGTCATTCAGGCGGCATCCAGACAGCATGCAGGAGTCTTCATCCTTGCGGCAGCAGCAGCTGCGGTATCGCGCCGGTCCCGCACCTCCGAGGGGCCCCCACTGTGGCCGGCAGCAGGGCGGACGCAGCAGCCGCCTCAAGCTCCGCACTGAGTATTGAGAGGGCGGCCAACCCAGTCTCCCGTGCCGTTGGTATCGCTGACGGGCGGGCTTGCAGCAACAGCTGCAGCTTGTTGTCCCGGGCGGCGGCGGCGGCGGCGGCGGGGACCTGCCAATGCCGTGGACTGGAAAGCGGCGCTGGCGGCAGCGGAGCAGCAGTAGCAGCAGGTACTGGCACAGGGTTCAGTGAGGCAGCGCCACGGTGCCATGTTAAGGACTGGCTTCAAGTCCTGCTGAGTACGGCGGATGACATGGATGGGGCCAGCGCGGGTGCGGCTGTACCCTGTGCATCTCGGTGCGACGACGATGACTGGACGACGCAGCCGGATGCCGTTGGCGGCCCAAATGCTGTCTGTAGCGGCTGTAGCTGCAAGAAGTCCTCAATCCGTCCCGCGGTTGTACGGGTCACTGCATGGCTGCGGCCCAGCCAGGGGAATGATATGGCGGCGGCGACGACGGTGGCGGAGGCGGCGGCGGTGGCTGAGGAGGGAAGCATGCGAAAGGCCGGGGTGGCAGCAGCCGTGGCGGCGGCGGCGGTGGTCGTGCCGGCACCGGTGCTTGCGATAGGGCCGTCGCAGGAACTGGAAGAGGTGGATGCGGTCGGCACGGCCATCGCTTCATGTGGTGGTGATGATGATGATGACATGGCTAACGACACGGATGCGGCCAGGCAGGCCTTGAATAACGGCCTGCACTGGGTGCCCGTCGGCGGTGGCGGCGCGACACGCCGTAACGCACACTTACTGGAGCTGCTCGGGTTGCCGCAGGAGGTGCGGTCCTTTCGGATGTCGGTTTCGGAGCTGGTGCCGGAGCCAGCAGAACCGTATGGACCCACGGGTCAGTACGAGGAACGAGGTTCGGTCCTGGGGCTTTTGGATAATGCCGTCGACGCGGCCGCACCTCACTGGCCGTGTGGGGGCCCCTCGCCATGTGGCTTTGAGTGCGACGGCTTCCTGTCGGCGTCGGCGCCGGTTGCGGAGATGATGACGGGCGCCGAGTCGTACAGCTTGGTGGACTGTGCTCCCGTCCCGGCGGATGCATCGGCGTCGTGGTCATTGCCAGTGATGGCGGCGGTGACGTCTTCCACCGCGGCCTGCGGGATGCCGCCGTCGCTGCGGCGGCCGGCGGCGACTGCGCAGCAGCATGAGCTGCAGATGCCGCTGCGGCACACTGCGGCAGTGGAGGTTCTGAACCTGCTGGGCAGCGCAGTGGATCCGCGAAAAGGTGCCGTACAGTGCACAGGCGGCTTTGGTTTGTCTTCATGTGTTGGCAGGCTGGACTGGCCGGCCGACTTTCCCCCTAAGGACCTGGGGGAGCTTGACAGGGACGGATCCCTGCCACAAAGCCAACTCAGCGCCGACCTGTTCGCTTTGATGTTCGACGGAGATGAAGGCGATGAAGAAAAGGTTGCGGTGCGCCTCCCGGGGTTGAAACTGTACGGCAGACGTGGAGCAATGCCGTACACGGTTGACGGCGGGGACGAGGAGGATAACCAGCGGTGGTTTCGTGGAGGGCAGGACGCGGTGCGGCCGCTGCTGTTGACCTCTTTAACTACGGGAGCTGTGTGGCTGTGAAGGGGGCCTTGAGGCCGGGATTCGCGGATTGGCTTGGCTAGCGGTAACCCTAAGTTTGCGAGCGATGGTAAGGGAGCAGTGTGGTGCGTCTAGCGTAGTTGTGGTGTGCTGCGGTTTGGGCCTATGGTGGTGCTGGTGCTGGTGGTGGTGCTGAAGCAAAATGGTGCTGCTGGTTTTGGTAGTGATAATGGTAATGGTGGTGCTGCTGCAGGTGGTAGTGGCATTACTATCTAAAAGTGGTGGACGAAATCCTGGAGGGAGAGTTTCTACCTTTTGAGTTGGAAAGGCGATTTTCATTTTGCGGATGAGGATCGTCCTCACCCTTGATTACTTATGATGCTGGTGGCAGTCCCATGCATGCCTGTCCCATGCATGCCTGTGCCTGCTTTGTGTCCCCTGAGGAGTGAGGAAATGTCTCGCCCCCCTTGGGAGCGATGACGCCTGAGGAGGGGGCCGCCACAAGGGGGTCCCGCGCCTTGCGTGGTGTGCTGTAAGCGCGCTGTTGGTTGCTGAGAGGCTTTATGTAGGTAGGAGGAAGGGAGGGAACTTGGCTATGGCGACACACGCTGGAGCGTCTGGAAATGCAGTGCGGAGATCGTGTGTTGTTATTAGGGATTTGGTGCGTTTGAATTAAGCTACGTGCATAGTGAGATTGGGTTGAGATTGAGGGTTATATATTGATGCGCTTCTGAAGAGGAAGGAGAACTACCACTTACCGTGGTCTGAAGATTTATCGTTTATTTTGATGTACTATTAGGATGTTGGTATTGCGGGTGCAGAAGCAGGTATGCGACATGCTTGGACAGGAGAGCCGTACGGCTCCTCATCGCGGTAACTCATACCGACGCGACTTGCAGAAGTCCCGTACCTGCCTTCAGGCTCGTTTTTATTACATATGTACATACAGAGGTAACCTTAATAATTGACGTGTTGGGAGATGAGTGACAAGGTGCGCTATTGAATTCTGTCGATTTTCTAATTCCCGCTGCCATTTATCTTTCCTTACATGATTCCACAAATGGTAACATAAATCTATAATTGTCACTCCAGTTTGATCCGCGTCACGTGATGTATATATATATGTATATATGTATGTATATATATATATATTTATATATTTATATATATAGAGAGAGCGTGTGTGTGTGTAGACAAGGGGGTGGGGATGCTTATCCTCCAGTTTTCCTGATTCACAGGACTGTCGAGGGCATGATTTTCTGCATGCAGTAGGCAAAACAGTGGCTCCAGTAGTAGGTAGGCGGCCGAAGTTGGGTTTGAACAGGGGTTCCCGGAGTTGAGACATGAAGGTAGCGCTACCTGGGGAGAAAGACGTAGGCGAAGAGGAGGAACCCGGAGCGGCACTGTGTATGACGGCTTTCGTCAGCACCTTGTTGGTTGCTAGGTTGGTGGTTATTTTAACTGCCAAGTTAACTGACTCGCTATTCAGTCGGTGGCTATTGATGGCTTGGTTTGTAGATGCAGCAGACGGTTTGAGGTTTAGTGTGTGTTTTGAGGGTGTACCGATGATGATGGTGCAGGAGCCCTTTTTCGGCCCCGTCTGGTGAAAAGTGGGCTGCAGGTTGCTGTGGAGGCAATCTCTGTTACTGCATCTCTTTGATGTGAATGCCGCTAACCTGTGCTACTGCTGATACTTGCTACTGCTGGTATTTATTTCGCTAATGCTGCGTTACGGCTGCGGCTGGCACTGCTGCAGGGGCGGTGCTGGACCCCAAATTGCATGGGCTTTGGCTTTCTGTTGTTCTTGTCGCCATGCTTCGTTTTTTTGCTGCTTTCTTACGACAGCCGCAATGGTGGCGGGCCGCGCCAGCTTGATTGCGTCGGTCTGGGAGCGGGTCAGGGAAACCTAGGTGAGGTGTGCACGGGTACGGCCCGGCAGCTGCTGCAGCGCGGCATTGCGTTTCCTCCAGTTCCGTCTCGGCTGGTTTCAACCTGTAATTGAGCGAGAGTGATTACTGGAGATGAAGATATAATATTTTACCTTCCTAGTTGCTTTTGCCGCGCGATGTTGTGTATGGTAGCCAGGTCGCGCTCTGACACCTCGATTTCCTTTGGGCCTTGTATCTCTGCCGCGCTGCGCAGCGGGGCAAGCGGCCCTGGGATGCAAATCTGTCGCCCCTTCCCTCCGGAAGCGCGACGAAAAGGTGTTTGATACTGCTGACGCACCCATCATATGTCATCATATTGGAATGGGCGCAGGTTTACGGGTCGAAGCCGGTGTCGCCCTTGTTCTCCATCGCGTAACTTGCAATAATGTAGGAAATGCATACTGTAGGGTGATGTGGATGTAACCGCTGGCCTGCGACGGTTGTACTTGTATTGGGCACAATATAACGTTCTGGACGGTTTCGGACCGTGCCGCTAGGCACTCGGGAACCCCCCACGGCAAAAGAGGGAGCAGGAGCAAAGCGGCTGCCGCGGTTGATATGTATCACCAGCGTAGTAGTCGCAGTGAGTGTACAAGCTGCCGTGTATGTGTGTATGTATGTATGTATGTTGTCTCTGATTAATCTCTGGCCTGAAGTTCAGCAAATGCATTCCAGCACTGGAAGGGCGGGTTTGTATATTAAGCGCGGTGTTAAGGGTAGTCGGGCTGCGTGGTCTGCATTCTGTTTCGGTGGCGGCTTATTACGCAGTTACTACGTTACTACTACCACTACGAAGATGACTGAGACACGGGGGTTGCTTGGGAGCTGACTGCGCTTGTCTTCATCCGCATCCACACGGCGTGGCAGGATGGTGTTTTTGGGGTGGCCAAGTGCAGGCCGGCGAGCGAGATGAGTAGGTTTGGGGGAGGGAGGGTGTGGGTGAGGTAGTACCCGACTTCCTGGCTCCCGTGGGTTGGCCCCCTTGGCTGTCTTGCATTGGACAACCGCCGTACAGCTGTGGCTGCTTCTGTCGGGGCTCAATGCGCCCTGCCTTGCTGGTCTCTTCGGCGACCTGCGCACCCCCCACGCACCCACACCAGCATGACGACCGCCCCACCAGTCCCAGGGCTACTTGGTGCGGCAGGAGCTGGCGAAGTTTGTTTTTTTGCTGCATCTTCACACCCATTTCTTAATCCTTGGGTTGTAAGAAGCCTATGAAGATTGCCTTTTTCTTATTCACGGAAGGATTTCGGGAAGATTTGTCCAACAATAGGCTGGCTGACAACGATCGCGAATGTGCTTAAAAACCATGCTAAGGCTATTATAGTTATGACTATCCGCCTGGAAGCATGTTGTAATATTTTTGTACGATTCAAACGTGACGTTTGAATGGACGCATGCACGTCCTTTCCTCGGGCATTCCTGCTGGGCGTGCTCCAATCTATTTGGCGCTGCAGCCGGCGCTGCTGTTTTTTTTGGGTATGTGGAGTACTTATATGCTTATGTGCTTTTGCTGTCCTAGCTTCGACGGCTTGTCCTGGTAGAAAGTACTGCAAGTCTGCTCTTGGAGGCTGGATGACTTCGGGTTTTAACCCCCATGTTTGTCTGACGGACCTGGTCATTCAACAGCCTGAATGTACGTACAACGCTCGGCTTCCTCCTTCCGGGCCTTGCTTAGACTTGCGTCGCCAAAGCAAAGCAACAGCAGAAGCTTTGTAGAAGCTGTTAGTGCGCAGGCCGAGCAACCTGAGGCCGTCGTACAGTCGTATACAGTAGCGAGAAGTTTGTGCACGTAGGTATGTCCGGAGATGAATCTGGCAGGGAAATTTGGTTTGGTTGCAGGAGTATGCGCCCGCAGGTATATGCCGTCCTTGTGGTGGGTATCGTCGTCGGCGCTGTTCTGATCCTGCACTGTACTATGCGACGAAGTAGAGATTGAAACTGTCCGATGGCAACCCGTTCCTTGCCGCCACCGCTTGGCCGACGTGCATGTGTAGGGCCGTTCGAGGGGCGTTGTAAAACTCTCTTGCCTTGCGTGCCACGAAGGCCACACGTGAATGGAGGTCATCGCACGCTTCCATTCCATACGCCTCCATGCGTCCTCTTGCACAGCTTCAGTTACAATGTTGTAGCGCTCCAAAAGGGTGGCCGGGCCTGTAAAGTAGCACTGAAGCGAAAATGGTAGAGAGCGTGCTGAGATATTTCTGGTCTCTGCTGCACGAGGCCGAGCCTTAGAGTGCCTGAGACCGGCACTAACGTTACGAAGGAAAGGCCTCACGTCTGGGGTGCTGCACCCCCTGACACAACAACACTTGTTCGCTGCTGAAATCACCACCACCACTGCACGCGTCATTGGTTGGTTGGTTGGTTGGCGTGCACAATACCGGTAACATGCGTTGTCTCCGACGCCAAACATAAAATGCCCCTTGCGTGCCTTTGTGACTACACACATACGTACGTACATGCGGTTCGCTACCAGTATGTCGCAAGGCTGACAACTTCCACCCGCGCGAGCGAGGGCCGTCCGTAACCGCCCGCCCGGGGGTCCCCCGTATGTTGCACGGACCCCAACACAGGCTCTTCCGTCGCCTAACAAGGGTCACCCCGGCCGTGGCGAGCAGCCATGACTGGGGTAAACCAGGTCCACGTACAGCGCACCGCAGATATTTCCTCGTGCTAAACGTTCTCTCGCTGTGTGCATATCGGACGTGTGTACGCATGGGCACACATGGGCCAGGCGCCGGAGCACGGTGCACAAAGACTGATACCGCACTTGGGGTATGAACCTGGCTAGACTTGATACTCCGTCTGATACTCTACAAATGGCCGAAGAGTTCTTGTGCAGGCACCAAGGCCGGGTGCTGTACCCGGGAGGGAGAGGTACATATGTATTGAGAGTGTCAGCGGTTGGGATATCCGTGGGGTCGTTGAGGTGCGGAGGCGTCTCGGTTGTGCTGCTCCCATGCGCTGCTCAAGGATAGGGGCGGCCAGAGCGAAAGGTCAGCGCATGCGGAACCTTTACTAGATACCTCCTGACTCGCCGCCTTAGATGCGCCCTCATGGCATCAATCAGTGCAAGCGGAAGGGCTACTGCATATCGTGGCGGTGGCCATGGCGCCGCCCAAGATGTCAGCTCGGGACTGCACAGAGAGTCTGGCCACCACAGACAAGGTCCGAATTTTGGCGTAACGCGTCGTTTAGAGGCCCTTGGCATTATCGTAAAGGACATCTTCCCCTGCTCAGATGGATTCGCGACGTGTAGTGTTCGCCAAGTTAACCCAACTGGCTGCCGTCGGTGTCTGTCACAGCTCTATCCCAGCAGTCAAAAGCACAGTCCTAAACTTCATCCACCAGAAATGAGACCTGTTGTCGTTCCACACAGCCAGCCAGCCAGCCTAAATCACTACAGGACAAACAGACCCGCTGGCCGCACTGCAACCACGCTGGTGACTTGGCCGTAAACGGCCTTAACATCTACGGCTATGGCAGCACCGCGACTGCTCCGAGCACCGACAAACCTCCCACAACGACCACCCTCGGGCTCTTGGAGGGCTGCTGAATCCTCCGGCATCCCAATACCCTCAGCTGCCGTACCGCCTCTGTTGGGGACCACTCCTTCCAGAGGGGGCCCATTGGCCCCCGACGGCGACGGAAGCCGGCCACGGCCATGCAGCTGTCTACGACGACCAGGAGGGTTCGGCCCGCGGGCGGGGCCCTGGGCCCCTTGGTCAGCAGCTGCCGTATCTCCCAGAGCTTCAGGAGGAGCTGCATGGGCCTTTTCGTTGTCTGTTATAAATGCAGCTCCCTTGTCGCAGCTATCGCCTGAAGCTGTTTCCTTGGGCACGGAGCCCGGTGGAAGCCTCTCCTCGCGATTTTTAATTTCTTCTCTTGGCTGAGGTTCTTCCGAGCGGGCTGGAAACGGCCATCTGGTCCAGGCAGTGGAACATTAAGTACGTGGCCCTTATGACGTGCTAAAGGGACCGACTGTTCTCCATCACCAGCAAGCTCGGCAGCTCTACGTATTTTGCGGCGAGCTTGATCCTTCCAACACCGGTCGAGTTTCTCTGCGAATGTGCTGAATTTGGTATTGATCTATGTGTCGTAATACATTGTTGCGGATTATTCAGAAGGTCTGATTACTTAAACGCGCAGAGCCGGCATGGCACGGCATGCAAATTATGGGGCATTGGGGTTGGAAGGGTTGGACCTGGGGGCGAGGGATCACTAATTATGCTATTAGGCTGAAGCAGCGTTGCAAAGGGTCTTAGGCTCAATTTTTAGGTCGGTCCTAGAGCTGTATTTATGGGGGAGCATTTGCACCTTCCCAGCTGCAGGACGGGTGGGACCATGTCATTAAACTTTCAGCTAGACCAACCGCCCTTGGCTGTACGGAAACTCGAAGAATGACACATGCGCGTACCATAAGTTCCAGATGGGCAAACTAGTATAAGAGGATTCTGCAATCGTATATAAAGGCTCGGAGTCCCATTCTCCCATACTTTTGAACCAGGCCAGCGAAGACCCAATGCAGTGCGGCGCACCCGTAAAGGTTTTATTCATCAAAACAAAAATTATAAAATGCATAATGCGTGGAGCTCTCAGATGCAGGACCGTTTTGGCCTGGCATTATTTAGCCTTTCGTACATGTTCCCGTCTCCTTCATGCTGAGCAAAGGGCACATCAGGCCAATCCGCAGTTTGCCTGAAGTTATTCCGGAAATTACACAGCAGAGTTTTCTGTGTACTGCTGTTTACACGTGATCACAGTACATGACTGGGACAAAGTTGTTGGGAATTCTTGGGGATTCATGCGCACAGCATAAACACACCAATCTGTTATAATATAATATTATATTTAATAGGTTGTTCAATTGTTAAGGTACAATCCTAGCAGTATTCCGGCTTCGACGTACGCCTGCGCGATGATAAGAAGGTGCGCGTGTGCTCGTCTTTGCGCATGCTCCAAAGTGCCTTACAGATGAATAATTTGTTCCATGAGAGCTTCCTGAGAGGTAGGGCCTCGCGAGAGTGGCTGTAGACACGAGCTGCAGGTGCTAATAATACCCTATGAATTGCTCTTCAATTGTTCTCACATAGCTCCAAGAATGTCATTTGTCCCATATATTCCTTATCAGATTGGTCTGTCACTATAATTGAAAATCAACCGAGCACCAAGGCCGTAACAATCCACTTGGACTCGCTTGTTCCCATGGTGTTCTAATAGCTTTGAATTTGCAATGACAGAGAAGCGGTATGCTAAGCATCGCGCAACATTGCCATAGTCATGTTTGGGTGTACTTCAACGGCTGCCCGTCCGCGTCCCACACCGCCTGTCCTCTGATTTCAACAGGCCTTAAAAGTGGTCTTCGTATCTGCGATCACGACAAACCTGCTTCGCTCTGTGCCATTTGTCCATACGGGTCAGCGGCCGCGCGTGAACCCTGCTGGTAATTCACAACCTTGCAAAATATCGGTGGACCTAAACCAAATGGCGATGCATGCTTCCTTCGCCGGAATTGGCGATAAATCTTTAGCTTTATCGGTGGAAACGTCCGGCTGCGGTGAGCAGGGCCATGTTGGGATCCCAACGGACAAAATCAGCGTTGGCCGCCGGCATCATCAAGACAGTTGCACGAGCATTGCTACCAGCAGCGCAGGCATACGCTGCCTGCCTAGCAGCACGCAATCCGACACCTGTGAAGGTAACCCTTTTTCCTTCGTATCAGATGCTTCCACTTCACGCCACTCCAGCGGCAATTGCGGCCTGGGCCAACATTTTCCACCCAGCTTCAACAGCGCGTCCAGTCTGGCCAGCACCACAGTCTGCAGCGGACATACTGCCAAACTTCCACAGTGCCAGCGTCCCCACATACCCCAACCCCCGCAAATCCCGCCCCGCCTCCACACCCGCCTCCTACTTACAACCCCCTGCGGGCCTTCCTTACAATGCCGGGGCTCCCATCCTCATCCATTGCACCACCAGCAGCAACCGCAACCGCAACCGCAATCGCAATTGCAGCAACAACGACAGCTCTTACAAGCGAGCGAGCGTATTCGCGAACGCAGTGGTGGCGGCGGCGCCCGCACCGGTGGTGGCGCTGCTGCTGCTGATAATGGTGATGATGATGATGGTGGTGGTGGGGACGCGGACAGCGGTAGCGCTGCTCACCCAGGGGCCGTCCTCGGGGCTCGCTCCTGCCCCCGCTCCTGCGCCTCCCGCAGCGAACCTACATCAGGAGACGGGCTCCACGGTGAGCTGGAGCCCTGGATGCACCTCCTAGGGGAAGAGGAAGGGGAAGAAGGGGTGTCGCAGTTGGAGGTCCCGCCAGTGGCAGTGGCAGTCGCAGCGGCAGTGACAGCGGCGATGGACGCACCTCCTCACTGCTGCTGTGACGGCGCTGTCGCCGCCACTGCCGCCGCCGCCGCCGCCGCGCCCCCCGCCACCGTGGCAGCTGAAGCCTTTAGCGCTGGGGCAGCCGCCGCGAAGGCGTTTGTCTCCGGTGGCAGCGACTGCGCACCTCTGAAGCCGGTGCCGCAGCACCTTGGACGGGGCGAGGAGAACGGGCGCAGCAGCAGCAGCAGCAGCAGCCGCCCGGCAGTAGCACGAGCTGGCGCCACCGCCGCCGTCGGAGGCACTGCAGGTAGCGGCTGCATTGGGAAAGGGGACAGTGCCACCGCCGTCTGCGAGGTTGCGCTGTGGACGACACAGCAGGAGCCTTTGCCTTTAAGTACCATTACAGGCGCCGCTTTCCCGCCGCCGCCGGCTGCGCCGCCGCTGACTTACATCGCCAACGCTTCTCCGTTGCCAGCAGTAGCACCAGCACCAGCAGTAGCAGCAGCGCAACAGCCAGCGGCGCCTGTATGCGCGGCGGTTGGTTCCCGGGGCTTCAAGGGAAGGTCTACAATTTTTACCGCAGCCGCTGGCCCATGCGGGCTCACGTCAACAGTAACAGAGACCTTGCGGGGGCTGGGACTCGAACTGGAGATGGCAACGGGCTTGGACATAGGTGGTGTCGCCAGCGGCACCGCCGCCGCTGCCGTCGTCACCGCTGTTGCAATTACTCACCTGACCGGCGACGACGCCATCGGCGACGACAGTATCACCGAATCAGCCACGACGACCGACCAGGCGAGGCGACTGCTGTTCGAGGGCGGCGATATTTGTCGGTCATCCGAAGATCCGGCTCAGATCCAGATCCAGATCCTGAACCTGCCCTGTGATGCCTCGCTAGGTCCTTTCCTTCCCAAGAAAGCTGCCAGTGGCCTACTACCGGGTGTCGTACCAGTGACCACAGGCGGGGTTCCAAGGGCTGAGGACGCCACCACCATCACCACCACCATCCCCACCACCATCCCCACCACCATCCCCACCACCATCCCCACCACCATCCCCACCACCACCACCACCACCCCCACCCCCATCCCCACCATCACCATCACCACCAGCAGTAGGGGTGTCAGGGACAGCGGAGACGAAGCTGCTGTTGCTGCCCCCGCAGCGGTGGATACTGCTACAGCTCCGGCCATCGACGTCGCAACCGTCGGCGCACCCGCAGATGAGGGGGCAGCGGCGCCAGCGGTAGACGGCGCAGATGCGACAGTAAATACTTTATCGGCAATTCGGGAGGTGGACACGACGGGCATTGCGGCCGTTACCGGGGGCCAAGTCGAAGGCCAGGTGGCGGCGGCGCGAATGTCGGCGGTGGCAGCGCCGCCGCCAGATTCGGCCTCGGTGTTTGGGTACCGGTTTGTTGGCCGCGGCCGCATGCGGGGCGGTCGACCACAGCGGCGTGTCTGTAACCCGGGATACGACCCGGAGACCCCTCGGAGGCTCGCGGGACCCGCTGCTGCCGGGGCGGCCGCGGGCCGCGGTGGCGGCGGCGGTGATGCTGGTGCCCGCCGCCGCGGCTTCGGCGCTCTGCTGGCCAGCGCGGGTATCACCACTTGGTCCCCGGGTCGCTTCCGGAAGGTAGTACGACAAGGCAGTGGGGATGTACGGGGCCGCGGCGGCAGCAGTACCGTACTTGGCCACGGGGCCTTGCCAACCGGGGCCGGCGGGCGGGGGAGGGCGCTGCGAGGCGCCATCACGGAATCAGGATACGGCGAGTACGGCTTAACTGGTCATGCTGACGTCGACGTCGACCGAAACAGCTTCAGTCTGTTGACGTCAACCGGATTTTCCAGTTTTAAAGCCCCCAGCTGCGTCTTCTCTCTACACCGCATGACAGTGCTAGTGGCCGCCGCGGCGGCGGCGGCGGCGGCGCGGCGAGAGGGCTCCGAGACGTGGACGCTGCCGCTGCCGTCTAGCATGCCAGACGTGAGTACGGCGGACGGCGATTGGGACAGTTTGTGGGCACCGGATGGCGACGAGGATGGGGAGCAGCAGCAGCAGCAACACACATTTTCGGAGCTGTCCTTCCCTAGCCGACAGCCGTCCAGGCGGAGGCGCCGCCAGCAGCCGCCGCAGCGGTGTCAGCAACAGCCCTCCCGCCAGCAGCAACGAGGCATGCGTGTGCCCTCCATCACCCGGACGGGGGGCCCACTGCTGGATCTACCGGACGGCTGGGAGGCGGCTATGGCGGCTATGGGAGAGACATCGACCCATGGGTCGCTGGGGCCATCAGAATCAGGAAGGCAAGCGGGGGACAATACGGCGATGGCCGCCGAGCCGCAGCAGCGGCGGTGGCGGCTGGGCGGCGGCGGCGGCGGCGGCGGCAGACCGACCGACTCGCGGGCCACTGCTGCCGTCGGCGCCGGCGCGCCCAGAGCGTGGTGGCGGCAGCTGCAGGCCGGCTTGGTCGGCTTGGGAAGAAGCCTCGTGCACTGCTACTGCTCCTAGGCGCTGCCACCGGGCACCACATACCTTCAGGAAGGCAGGCGGAGCCTCCGCAGCTCGCAGCCGGCGGACTGCCCGGGGCCGGCAGGACTAGACCGCCAAGTGGACGGAGTGGCACAGGGCAGGTCGTAGGGTGTAGGTTAATGTGCGGTACGGCGGACAGTCTGTACGGAGAGGGGCCCCCCGAGAGGCGGCCCCTCGTCGCTCGGGAGTGTGGGTCTGCCGTTGGAGAGTGTGTTGATGTACGGTTGTTGGACTATAGTTCGCAGTTCCCGGCGGTCCCCCTGTCAAAGGGCATTATTTGCTGTTGAGCTTTATCTATCTATCCATGTATCTATCTGTCCATGTATCTATCTATCTATCCATCGAGGCAGACTGGCAGGCAAGCGGGAACATTGAATTTACTGTATCAGACACACACGCGATTAGAACATACGCGCTAGCAAGCTGCGTTATCGGTTACTGTCGACATGAATACCTCCTGCGGCAAGGATGCGTGCCTTTCTTCCGTCCTCCTTTTCGGCGGGATCTCGGCCCATCTAGAGAAAGGATTGTCAACTAATACACTACCGGTTGGTTGCTTAATCTATTTTTTTTCGGAGTGATGCTAGGGGCGTTTATGTGCTGCTCAGGCTGGGCCGGCTGCGGTCAACGTAATTCCGCGCCGGAATTTTATTCTTTTGAATTTTGGATCTGGAACCCAATCGTCACGTCCGTGCAGCCGTACCGGACTGCTTTACCGAATAGCGGTACGAGCGGATTGCGGATGGCTGGTTGCTGCCCGCGCGGTTTATCTGTGTGCGATAAACAGATAATAAACAGATACACACACATACATACATGGTGTGTGTATATGTGTGTATGTGTGTGTGGGCGTGTCTTAATGATCTTCGGAGCTGCGATGAGGGAATTGCCGATGGCGGTACACGAGCTCGCTTAGCACCGAAGAGTGTGTATCTGTTACATATCGATCCGGGCCTGACACTGGCCAGGGGCACCTAACCGTATACCCCAACGGGAACGACCGCTGAAGCACTCTCCATGATTGGAGGGGCGCTAGGTCGGTCGTCAGAGTCCTATCCGTTCTCTCTTATCAACAACAACAAGGCGCCGTCACCTGTTCAAATCCTCTAGCCAGCTACATACACACCAGCTCAGACGCCAAGCAACCTCCGTTCCACCGAAAGCGCATGCTCTACAGCTGCGCGATCTACCAATGGCTGCACTCCACCCACACCGGTGCGCCAATAGCGCCACCCCAATCCTTGCGAATTCTGTCCCCGCCCGGTTTCATTTTCTAACTATCATCTGTCGTACAGTCTGGTCTAGGCTCCATGCAGGGCTAATCCTACCACTGCCCCTGCGTTGGCGCAAACCTGTGTGTGTATGTGTATGTATATGTATGTCCACCGCTGGCATTTTTAGTGCGTCTTTGGGGCCAGCTGGTTGTGTCTACAACGTTTTTTTGCGATTCGAAGTTAAGGCGTTCAAGAGTCCTCCAATAAATATCGTATCAGTCCAAAATTGGCAACGACCCCCCTCGCAACCCTAATAACCGTATTTGAGACGTACGGCCGCGCCTTGGTGGTGGTGGTGGTGATGGCGATGGAGCTCAGTCACAATAAACCTTTCCCAGCGCGCTCTCCGCTGTGCGCCGCTGTGATGCCTCTGGAACGTTTCGAAAAACTGAAAATTTTGTTTTTGTCTTTGCTTTGTTCCTGTACCAATACAAAATGGTAGACGCAATAGGCGTCGTATTATGTCACCAACCGGCCAACCAGTCGGGAAGTGCACGGGGCGTGTGTGTATGTGCAGATTTGCCCGAAAACGGCGGTGAAAACTTTGTTATGTTGGTTGGGTTTTCATCATGGAGGTGCTTTCCAATGGAGGACTTCAGAAGCTCGCGATGTGTGGTGGTGGTCCTAGATGTAGCCTGCAATGTGGGCCCTTGCAGCCGGTCCGTCCACACGTCGTGGCAGCTAGCTTCGCCTCGATTCGCGAACCCCGATGGAGGCCCACCATCTAACTCTTCTGTCCGTCCTGGTCCGTGGGATCTTAGAAAAAGCCAGATGATCCTGGCTCCAGGCTCGCTCGGGCGATTTCCACTTCCTGGGTGTTTCGGAGCTGATGCTCCGCGTGAGAGGGGCTTTGGGGGCAGGTCGGTTGTTTTTTCGGTTTTGGAAAAAATGAACATCCGTCTGTCCATCCGTATATTAATGTCGTACACATACATGTGTGTGTCGAGTGGTGTAGCTTCGTGAGTTACCGTATTGTGAGTTACCGTACCGTGCCGTATCGTATCGTATCGTATCGTTGTGGGTCTTCGCCAGCATATGTACGGCGATGTACGGCGATGTCCCTTCTGCATGTCGCGCACAGTTGCCCTAGCCGGGCAGGAGGAGGTGTGTGTGTGTGTGTATGGGTCGCTGCCTCGTCCTTCGAGTCGTTCTCCATGAGTCAATGCAGGATGGAACCCGATTCGGTACCACCTAATTCTTATAAAGCTTGAAGTTGACGCATTCTGCCTTCTTGGGAATGTACGCATGGTGTACGCAGTTGCTTGCACCTACCTACTGGACTACCGGACGACGATCTCCGAAGTCGCTATGTATATCTCTTATGTATATCAGACATACATACATACATGCATATGTGTAACTGTTTGCGCTCCATTTGTATGATTAGTTACCATCCAGTCCAACAGCGGCGCCAGATGTGTGCGGCCCTGGGAGCTCGGTGTGGAGTGCGGACACCCGCAGTTGCACGGTATCGCGCGCGCGTGCCCTTTGGGAGCATGTGTGTATATATGTATGTATGTATGTATGCACATATGCATGTGCATGGCGTGGGAGCGTTGTGAGTATTGGTGTTTGCATCGTGCTTGCATGGGCACACCCTCTGCCCCCATCTGCATCGGGCATGTCGGTAAATGGAGATAGTGTTTTGCTTCGCCGTGCACCGCCATTGGTGCCGTACCGCCATTGGTGCCGTACTGCCCACCCCCCCGCGGCACCTGTTGCCCTGCATGCATGCATACACTGTGCAAACAACCCCCTCCTTGCTTTGAGCTGATGACATAACAGGGTTTGGTGCCTGATTTGTATGCATGGCTGGCTGGGCCGTATGCGTGGCAGGAGGGTGGTTGTGGATGTTGGTGTGAGACATTGGGTGCTGCGCACACTTGCTTGTCGGCATTGGTGATGCTTTACAGATGTTTTAGTTGGGTTTTGGCGGTTGGTTCAGTTGGTTCAGTTTGTCTTTGACTCCTAGAGTTCTGTGATTGGAAGGGAAGGGGGGACAAACGAAGCGGTACGCCTTCCCCTCCGGGCCCCCCCCCCCCGGGTTCCTCAGGATCCTCCTCGGCGTAACCATCATGTCGGCGTCCGGTCTCACTCTTGTGCGAGTACCTCAACAGTACGGCAACATACGGTACGCCTTGTTCACAGGCAGCACGCGCCATGCGGTTGGTGGGTATGTATGTATGTTGTTACAGGGTGGTTAACTTCGCCAGCGGCCCCCTTTCCCGGGGCAGTCCCTGCTCTCCCCTGCTAGAGGGGCACCCTAATCCGTCACCCCATCCGACTTCAGAATGTATTCGTTGGGTTCGGCAACTCACCACCAGCATCCAACCAAATCTAGCGGATCAACGGCGCATCAACTTAGTTCCTGGTCAGCTCGCAAGTTGATATTATCACGTCCTACACCGTCCATAAGATGGGGGGCCACCTCCCATTTCATCACTCCTCAAACACCCGAGGAGCCGGCAGGCGGATTTGAACCCGGGTCGACTGGGTCGACTGGGAGCAGAAGTCAGGCCTTAACCTCTGCCAGCCGCCTGCCTATGTATGTATGCATGGATGGATGGATGGATGGATGGATACATGTATGGATGTATGTAGCGGAGTTGTGACGGAAAGGATTCACGAGCTGGTTCGAAACGTCCGGGCGCTATGATGCAACAGTAATGGAATGTAATGCGTTGATCGCAGTTCTTGTACGATGATGAAGCGGGCGCTTTGTATAGGCGCGTCCGTGCACCTGGCTCCTGAATTTGCAGCTCTTGTGGTCTTGGTTGCGAATTGTTTACGGATGCCGCCAGGCCCGGTTGAGGCCGGCTGGTGCTGGTGCTGGTGCTGGTGCTGGCATCCGTCCATCACGTCGATCTACCAACCAGTCACAACCGCGGGCCCCACACGAATAATTGCATTATGTGACTTACCTATGAAAGCTTAAGTATTGCCTGAGGGCTGAAGGTTCAGCTGGCGGGCTGGCTTTTCGAGCAGACGACGACTTTGAAAGTCAAATTGGGTGAAGCATGGGGGGCACCGCTGCGGCTGTAATCGTACGTGTGAGTAACTAACGAATGGTTTTGGGCTAAGGATTCATTCCTACAACTGCGCACAGATTACCGTTCCCGCTGAAACCTCAGCTGCAGGGAGTCCGGAGCTCGCTGGGTCCGGAACCAAGTAGCGGGGGTGCTATGATTCAGGGAGATGTAAGACGAGGGTGATGCAAGCTGCTGCGGCGCAAGGCCCACAAGGGAAAGAAGTGCCCGATAGAGATAATAGAATAAATATAAACGAAGGCCGCAGTATCTTTAACCGATGAAGCAGCCCAGTACGCAGGAGGCATTCTAACAACCGCTTGACACAGGGGCCGAGCTCCGGAACCATCGAAGCCCGTACATACTCGCATGCCACTTCACTGGGTTTCCTTGTTCCGCAGTGCAATATCTTTACCAAGCAAGAAACCACGTAGTTGGATGAGCGGTGCTTCCAAACAGGACAGCTTGGCTGCACGGGAAGGACCTCGATTCTCGTGTCACTCTGCCGGGCATACATGCCCGGGTGAATATCATTTTGCTATTAAGATATGATTTGCATGAAAGAATGACTATTTTGCGCAATTTAAGCCTATGCGCTGCTGATGGGAATGGTGCGGTGGCGAAGATGCGCACCAGCAATAAGTATACATGGCCACAAGCCATCAAAACTCAGATGATTATTACAATACATGCTGTTGAGCAGCAGGTGTGTGATTTGCAATTGGCGCAGACTTTAGTTTGGGTTTATGGAGGAGCCATGCCGAGGAGCAGGACCACCCGTCCCTGTTAATCTGGACGCCGAGTGCATGGTAGGATATGCTAGGACTAAGATACCCTGTGCCCAGGTATGGCATCGGCCGTATGGTCCCTGAAGGAGAGCGGACCAACGAGGATCCCGACCTGGAATGCCAGTGCCTGGAACCAGATTCATCGCAAGCCCCCAAGCAGAATGATTTGCGGTGATTATACTGTATATACATATACAGCTCGCAAAAACGGGACTTTGTGGCGATGCGCACTTAAATAAGGGCAGCCGGGTGCGCCAGTTGTTTCCAGTAGTATATTGGCGGCTGATTTAACACCGACCAAATGACACACATAAAACATTTTTAGCTATGTTTTGGATCTCGTGTATCTTCAGAAGGGAGCAAGGAAGCTGGGTAGGAATACCTGACACTCTATCTCCCCGCCTGCATTGCATGACAGCGTGCCGTAGTGAAGATGATGAAAGCAGTTACATTTTTTCGCTATCGATGTTAGTATTTTGGCATGAGCACCGACGGGTTTTGCTTGCAAGTCTCGGCTCATAAAGATTTCGAGCAATCCGGAGAAGGTTCTCATCAAATGGAGACTTGCTTCCTTCCAGTTTTAGGAGCAGCAAAGCTCCGCATCCAAAGTGATTTGCTTATCTGATATATACAACTGATTTACAAAACGTAGGTCCAAAACTGGAAACCTGTAAAACCAGTAACTGCTCAAGATACGACATTTGGCGCTACTGAGGCAGGCGGCGAAGCTCGGTTGCGGGTTCGCTTCTGGTATTTATTGTAGTTGAAACGTCCATACCAAAGCAGAGCAATTTCCCTTGTTTCGCTCTTCCAGTTTTACAAACTACCCTTAATTTCAGCTTTAACATCATCATCTCTCGGTTTGATTCTCAAGGCATTGACATCAACATGAACGGATTCTCCTACGTCACCTCAGCCCTTGCTGGCGCCTTTCACGGGCTTCGCGGGTAGGTTGGACAGACGCTTAGCAATGCGATGAAGCATGTCGTCCTTTCCCAAGCATGCTGCGTATATCCCGTCTTCAAAGCTTGTCATTTTGGTTTTGTTAGGACGAAGGTTTTCCTGTTTAACTTCGGGTTCACGACGAATCTAGTTCCCGCTCCATTATTTGGCCCTGGCCGTAGAGTCAGCAACAAAACCGAGGATGTGGCCACCATTGGCACCCCGGCGCCACACAACACGCACCCGTTGTGGACACCTCCGTCGGTCATGAACACGAAACCTTCGGCTACACAGCAACAGCAGCAGAAGCAGCGATCCGCTTTTACTCCTGGACTCTACAGTGCTGCTGCTGCTGGAACCTCGGGTGGTGAGTTTCCAGGATGATGGGGCACCGGCGTGTCAGGAACCACCAGCTCTAACACATGCTTACATTTTATATTGGGCTCTATCAAAGCATGTATTATTTTTGGCGGTTTTTAGTATTTTGCCGGTGTTTATGATTGGGGAGTTTTTTAGGTTGAAGAATCGCGCTGGGGAGCACGGAAAGGACCTGACAGAAGGAAGTTGTGACGTACGCACCGCGCATATGATGTACGTTTTGGAGATTTTACGGATTTTGACTGGCTGCTGCTGCTGCTGCATTTCAGACTGTTCCCGCGGTGGGCTCTCTTCCAGCTTTAGGACCTTACCTACCTGGTACAGCCGCTGCCGTTCATTACGCACACAGCAACCGTGGGCTAGGCAGCCAAGATGGCCAGGAACTTCAATGACATTATTTTGCGTCCCGCCGAGGCCGGATATATATATGTGCACGTCTTGAGCCATACGGCCGTTTTGAGCCTACATGAATTGTCACACGTGCGGCCTTGCTATTTTGATGCTGAGATGTCCGGCCCTCCTCGCTGCCGCTTCCCTTTCAGTTGCACCCCTCGCTTCCCCCTCGCTGAGCTCTTAGGCGTGCGTCACAGGGTTGAACGGGCAGCAGTGAAAGCACCTAGCACTAGCACCTCATATCTCCCCTTTCGCAAAGCAAGCGTTCTCACCACCCGCAGATCCAGCTGTGTAGCGTGCGTACTTCTATTCTGCTGGAACTGCAGCAGCACCTAACGCGCACAGCAGGAAACCTCTTTTTTCAAACCCCATCCTGCCCCGTCATTGATCTCTGATGCCGTACCCACCGCAAAATGTATGTAACCTAATGCACACTCGAACCCCTATAGCACTCGCCACGTGGAGCATGCGCTTGATGCCCCCCACCCACTATACTCCCACGGACATATGCAGGGGCTGCACCGCGGACGCCCCGGACCCCCAGTGTGGAGCGATGCGGCACGCCGGCGGCGTGTGGAGCTGCTTGGCCGCGGAGCCAGCAGCCACGGCCGTCGGCGGCGGCGGCAAGCGCCTCCAAGACCGCGCCGCCCGCCACAACCCCCCTTCCCGAGCGGAAGCGGCCGCGGCCGCACCCGCGGGACCCCATCGAGGCCGCTGAACAGCCCCCCCGCGCTTTGCAGCGGCGCCGTGTCACACAGCAGCCGCAGCAGCCTTCGGCAGCGTCGATGCAAGGTCGCAACTGTGCGGGTGAGGAGGCTCCTTGCCTGCTGCTTCCACGTCTGCGACACCAGCTGTTTCTGAGCAAGGCCAGGCTTCACCGGGAGGTCAACCGCCGACAGAGCGCAGCGGCCCAAGCGGAATCCTTCGGGAAGCAGCTGTCTGAGGCCAAGCAGGTGATTTCCGAGGTGAGGTCGCAGTATGAGGAGCTTTTGAAGGCGGAGCGGGAGAAGTGGGAGCTTGAGCGCCAGCACGTGCAACAGCAGAAACAGGAGTGTGAGCAGCAGCGGCAGGAGGCTCTGCAAGAGCTCCAGCGCGCTCAGGAGAAAGCGAAAGTTCTGGAACGTGATCACGCCGAAGCGACCAGTAAAGTTCAGCAGACGCAGGCCACCAATATGAAGCTCAGTCGTCAACTGGCCCAGCTGATGACGGACTATCAGAACCTCAAGGAGAGGCACGCGGAGTACGAAGATCCACCATTCGAGGAGAAGACGTTTAAGACCGGTCCGGACAGCCCTCCAATATTCTTTACTTGTCCAGCCCAAGGACAGGCTCCGAAGGTCGATCCGTCCGCCAAGTTTACCTTTGGCACCAGGGCCCCTGAAAAACCGGCGAGCACCTTTACCGGCACATTCCATTGCCGTCCGGACCCCGAATTTGACCGGGCCTTTAACAGTGGCTTTTTCCGTGAGTACGCAGCCGCGTTCATGTCGCAGCAGCCCGGCGCGTCCTGGACGCAGCAGCCCATTCCGACATCGAGTATGCCGGTCCTCAACGAAGCGACGTCTGTTGAGACGTTACTGCGGTTCCTGCGCGAGGCGGGGGCTGAGGGGCTCGTAAAGCCGGGCATGGACCGAGCCAAGCTTCTTGAGCTGGCGCTGGCCAAGACGAATTCCTGGGAGATTCGTCGTGTCCTTGCATGCCAGAAGATGGGCGACAAGCTCAACGGCGCCCTGGAGGTGTTCCACAACCTCTGTGGGGAGGACCTGAGCAGGATGTACAGGAAGATGGCTCTGCAGCTGCACCCTGACAAGAACGGGGACGATAAAGAGCTTGCTACCAAGGCGTTTCAGTATTTGGGAGAGGCCGCCGCTTTTCTGGGTTGCAAGAAGTAGCGGGGTCGTTGTCGGTGAGCGTGCCAGCCAGCGCTGGCGGTAGTGGAAAGGACCCCACGCTGTGTGCAGGGAGGAGGTGGGATGGGCTGGAAGGGGAGGGGAGTGAAGGGAAAGACGAACCACGAACGAGTGAAGCTGCTGCCAAGGAGCAGAGCTGACCAGTAGGCATCCTTGAAGGCGGCGACCTCGGGAGGGCAGGGGGGAGAAAAGGGGAGGGATGAAGGGGAAGCGGAGGAGAGGGGAGAGTGATGAGTGACAGACAAGGGGGTTTTGTTAGCGAACGGGAAAGGTGGGTACAGGAGGTCGGGTTTGGGCTTGCCTGCATTTCAGGCATGCAGATAGGATTTCGTGGTGAAGCGGTTGGGATTTGCGGGTTTCGCTTGAATACCCCGCGCCTGTAAGGTGTCGGACCCTACATGCGCTGAAAGCTGCTGGGACATTAGGTTTGAAGCGTTACGTAGGAGGTTAAGAGTGATGTGTGGGCCGTTGGTGACAAGCTAGCTAGTCATGCGTCCAAGCGCCATGCGTACTGGAAATGGCACCCGGGCACTCTTGCGAACTAACGCCTGACGGCGCCTTATTAGTGGCGTGGAGTGAACCTCTGCAAGTGCACCTATGTATGTATGTATGTATGATGTGTGGGACAGGGGGGCATATCTTCACCCGTGGCCGCGACCTGGCGAAACCCTGCCTTCCCTGGTATTTCGGGGCACCCTCACCTAGTCACCCTAGTCAACTTCTCAGTCTCGATTCCGGGATCTCCCGGGGGCAATGGTCGTGCATTACCAGAAGTGCCTAACCTAGTATGTATATACGTGTGCATGCACACTTGTGCTGCATGTCGGGAAGTCACGTGCTGCGCTTCGGTCCTCTGGGTGACTGCATACCACCCAAGCAGACATGGGTGGGTGGATGGGGGTTGCACAGCATCACCAGGCGCTTGTGCAGGAGGTTGCTTGCTTGTCGGGGGATGCAGCGGGCTCACCCAGCTCGTCGTGTGTGGACTCAATTATTACCAGATATGCACCGCAGGTGGTCAGTATGGGAGGGGCCATGTACGGCACGCCGCAGCGTAGGTTGGGCATGTTGGGGAGTGGATTACTGCGGATACTGCTGATTGTTGGAACAAGTTGCAACAACGGCTTATCTTGGGTTGGAAAGGAAACCACGTGGAAACACACGTGCGACTGCGACCGACTAAACAACCGACCCTTCGTCCTATCTTTCAGGGGTTACAACTAGCGAGTAGACGAGATAGGTCATGCAAGAAAACAAGGCTAGCGGGGTCGGGCTCAAGTTGTAGATATGTAGACTCGTGGCCGGGGCCCGGAAATTGCTTTTGATGTTTTCGACCGGATGGCCCAATGCCGGACCTGCTACTCTCATGTTGCCTTCGCCAACAACAGCGTTGTTGTTCTTGCGCAACGTTTTTGGTTGGTGGTTGTGACGCACGGTTTGCTGATTGGCCTCGAGATTGCCCTTGCTTGTAGGGATGTGGTCCGGGAGGTATTGAGGGTTTTCAAATTGAGTTCACCTCATCACAGTTATTGAGGCAAACAGGGGAAGCTTTCGCAAACCGGCAGGAACACGTTACTGCGTAAAGAGGCGCTTTGATGCGTTTTTAGATGTTCGTGTTCTGTTGGTTCTGTTGGTGGGCCACACGTATCGATGGAGCATGGATGGGGGGGAAGCATGTGTTGAGCTGGTGGCCTGGCCACGCATGTGGGTGTGTGGGTGTGTGTGCTTTGTCAAGCTCGGCGACCCGGACAGTTTGCATGAGTGGGCGTGCATGGGAAGGATTAACGTCCCTTAGCTCCCCGGTTGCTTCGTAGTACTCGCTCTGCTCGTATTGTTAAGACTGCCTGTTTACGCTGTTAAATCAATGAAGTGTGTCGATCGAGCAACGGCATCTACGGAGGGACTATGTCACAAGTTCCGGTGCTTAGTGTTATTGTGTTATTCAGAATGTGGGGCTCGTTTACAACAAAGGCGCATGTAGGTGCACGAACGGATGAGGATGTAACGCGCAAACTGGTCGTGCTTACGGGCGGCACCTTCGTTGATGGTAAAGTCGTGTCTCGGGGGGGTTCGACAGTAATAGCGGCCTATTTTTCGTTTCAGTGAGCAAAAGTGCTAAGTGCTAAGAACAGTGCAGAACTGGATGGGGCCGGTCACATTGAAGTGCGCGCGTCTCAAGTGACTGGTGCATGCCGAAGCAGCAATGTCCCAGCGTTTGCATCAAGTGCTCATGCAGCTCCTGTTGAGCTGTTGGGAGTTAGAGGTTAACCGGCCCGACGGCCGTGAACGCTCCGCTCCGCACGTACCTGCAGGCTTCATCACCGAGGAGTTGATGAAGATGATTTTTGCAAGTTTTTCGCGTAATACCCTGCTTACGCAGGCACGTGGATTAAGTACGACGACGACCTCGTGTTTCAAGGGCGCGACATGCGCACCATTATGACTGAGGCACTGCCTCTGGCATTGGCCAGGCTCCTCTGGACATCCTGTTGGGAGGTCAGGCACGTTGCGCTAAGGCGCTTCACGCTTAAACGGGCGGGAGAGGACGATAATGGCCTCCCGTGTACCGCATCAATACCCATCTACCGTCCTTTGGGGGCCCCCTTCACGCTTTAACGGACAAACCCCCACGTGCATACGGAACTTGTAACACAGCAGCAGCAGTAGCACCACCAGCAGCAGCATCTTTTGCGCAAATTCATCAATCATCGGGAGGTCGCGGGAGGTCACGCACGGTGTATATGTTTTGTCGCCTGGTAGCCTCATCCCTGCCTTCATACATCAACCTTTCACATCCAAGCGGCGCATTTCTTGAGTTTTAATAAGACGGGAATCGATAACGCCTCAGGCGACCTATGGCCTGAATCCACATGTGCAACATGGCGATGGCGACGCTGGACCACCCGCGTCCCGTATCACGGAGCAGCACACCCAGAAGTAAATTACAAGCGCATCGACAAGAATTCAAGTTGGTGATCGCCTTTGGCAAGCGGCCCCTTTTAACAAAGCAGGTCGATGGAACGCGTAACGCAAACGCCGTCGCGACCTTCGTCTAGAAATATACACACGACCTTTAGGACCGTAAGGACAGAAGAAACGTTAAGCGTAAATAGCGCGCACAAACACGATCTGACACGATCGCATCATTGGGAACTGCGGATTTAATGTGAACCCACGTCGGATGGATACATTTGCGGCTTTAGGAATGGAATGCTAAGAGCCAATGTATCTACCAGCTGTCTTTCAACCCATGGACAATACCTGGTCGAGGTTAAGATTTTCGAGGGGGCGCAGCGATCACCTTCGACGCACGGACATTCGCACACTAACTCGCAAATCCCCAACCAAACCGTCGGATACACTTCCTGACCAGGATGTGTCCACACACAAAAACGTGACTTAGATTTCGGAATATACGAATACATTAAAAGCAACTATGTACTATGCTACAGACACCTGTCACTGTAAAAACACCGAATTGGACACGGGCGGGCGCGCCAGGCACATCGGGTATGCCTGGCATGTGCGTCGGTTGGTGTTGGTGGCTAATTCAATTCGTACACAGCCAGCAGAACGGCAATGCCACGTTCCTTACAGGATCCGCCGAAGAAAGCCAAAACGCATGAAGGAGGGCGCGAGAGTAAGATCCAAGATCCAGGATGCAAGATGCAGGTCTTTCTTCTTCCTGGAGCTATCATTATTATCGGCGCGCGATGACTCCACATATTCAGGGCCATTTTCAAGGCAACCAAAAAACAGCGCACACAACCCAAACATGTACGCCAAGCACCGAGCTAGCGCGCCCCGCCCAGTTGGCCCTTGTCAGATATGCACATGCTACAACCCAACCCAAAGAAGAAAGGAAAGGGACGAAAGAAAAGGTTGAATCAGGGCCGACCTCCTGCCTCCCCAAACCCAACAAACACAAACACACACAGGTACCACAACAACAAGTGAAAGCGATTGGGTATCGATCAATTTGGCCACCGTTTGCACGCCGTTACATACTGCACACACGCACGTAGATATAAACAAGCATATCCCAGCGATCCAACGACCCCAACACACTTTCTGCGGGAGCCATCCACCACCTAAAATATTAGGGGCCGGCCGCTTGCCATACTCTGCCATATAGCCGGAGTCCCCGATGGAAGTTCCGATGTCGCCTTAGGGCCGTCCTAACCAAACAAACAAAGCAATGCGTTTCGACGTGATTTTCGATGCTCGTTTCGAGCGCACAGAGAAGTGCATGGGTCTACTCGCTACGATCTTCCCTTCCCTACTACCTCGCCCAGGTGCATCCTGCTGCAGCCCTCAATGCATTAGTAAACGATCTAAACGCATAAGCGACGATTAGGAAGAGGAGAGAGGGAGACAAACCATAAGCAAGCATCTGCGGATTTCGATTACTGTACAAGAGAAGAGCGCTACAATGCATCAGCAACAGCAAATGTCCTATTGACGACGCATTTAACCAAGCTCATCTCCGAGGTTTGGACGCGACGCAGCGGGGTTTTCTCTTCACAACAGACGTATCACAGATAGCGCTCTGGCGGCTTTTACAGAGCACGTCAATTAAGTACGGCGATTATCATATCCTACATAAAACGCGTACATACTCACACGCACACATATATATACATACTCACATACACACAGGCATGTGCACATAGAAATCGTTGCCTGATTCGTAGCAAATAGGTCTGAGTCTTTACGGTTTGGGCTCTAATATGCTGGCCGGCGCTGGTGGCGTGGCTCGGCGCCAAAAGGTGCACCTAGGTCCCCTTAAACCCGTCCTTTGTCAAGAGAAACGGTTCATCTGCCAGCATGTCAATCAATAAAATCTCAAACCTGCGGCTGCGCTCCAAGCTCAAAAGTTGCAGTGCAACGATCCCAATCCAAGCTCTCTGGCCGCGCCCACGTGGCCACAGCCCCCATACCTACTACCTACGTATCACTCCCAGTGACGCCTTGCCAAAGTCGGCCCCATCACCTCCTCCCCCCTCACCTTGCCCAGGATCACCCCAGGCAGCCACACAGCAGCCGGCCCACGAGACCCTTGCCACAACCCCGCCCATTGGACTCCATGATCCCTGTAGGAGCAGCTGTCCCTCCCGTATACCGATTTGGCCGAGTTGGTACAGTTTGCCCATCGTCGCTTACGCCGTACGACCTAGCGGCACCCGGAAGGCCCTGAGCCCTCACCGCTGAAGCTGTGACCTCAAGCAAAGGATTATCCAGCGACTGTACGAAACCCATATTGCCGTACACCCCCAGCGTTCCTCCGAAGCCCCAGATGCTGCTGACCGCGCCGGACCGAGAGCCGCTGTGACCGCCGGTGGGGGGGGGGCCCGCGGTGTCGCGGCCGCCTCGTAGCTGAGGCTGCGGTACAGGCCCGGGAGCCTGGAGTGAGGGGAATGACGGGAGTGCGGGGAAGCTGCAACGCACAGGACACAGTGCTTGTACGAGCCTCTGGGCGGCGGCGGCGGCGGCCTCCTGGTTTGACCCCGGAGGGCCGGTCTCTGGCTGGGGGTGATAACCCAGATGTACGGCACGATGCCGTTGCGGCAGTGGTAGCGGGTGCAGAGGCGGCGACGTCGCGCCGTCGGTGCCGAGCGTGCACTCCGTACAGATGGGGCTGCCGCCATGGAGGCCGCCGCTGACGCCGCCGGTGTTTACAAAGCCGCCGCTATATCTTGCAGCAGCGGCGGCAGTAGCGACTGCGTGGACGCACCTGGCGTGGTCGGTGATGCCGCCGCCATTTAGGACGCCGCTGTGTGGCATGAAGGCGATGGGCTGAAAATTGTACGGAAACATCTCACCGACGGCAAGACCGTCCGACAGGCCGGAAGGGATGACAGGATCCTGGGCACCCAGCAGGCCCTCACATACTGGTGGGAATGGGACCAAACCCGACAGCAAGGTTGAAGAGCAGCCTAAGCCAGGTCTTGCTGGCAACACGGTCCACAGTCCGTTTGCCTGTGCCCAGGCAGCGACGCCTTCGCCTTCGCCTTCGTCATCGCCGCCAATGCAATGGTAACCTTTTTGGCAGTCGCGGCGGCGCGCCTGGCTAGCGGCCGAACGCTGCCGCCAAACAAGGCACTGCCGCTGCCGTCGGCCGCCCACGCCGCTGCCACCGGCGAAAGCAGTCCTTTCACCGAGGGTGCTGTTGCAATCATCGAAGCCGCTTTCCGAGCCGCGGCCGCCGCCACTGCAACGTGATGCCCTCAACAGCCGCTCCATCACACGGACATCAAGGGTTTCCATAAGACCCGTCGTGGCCTGGGCGACAGAGGTGGCGGTGGTGGTAATGGCCGTGGGAAATGGCAGTGCCGGTGCCGCGCTATGATGCACGCAGCAAGGCGCCAGCGTCGAGGTCGTATCAAGGCTGTCGAGCGTTTCGGCGGCTGCGGCAGCGGAGGTGTCGCCCTTCTGCGGTCCTGGAAGCTTGCCCGGGCAGCTACCCCTGCCTAAACGTAGGCCCAGGACGAAGTTCCAATCAAAATCCAAGTCCATGCAGATTCGGCCCGGCCATTTCTTCAACAGCCCCCAAGGGGGCCTCCTCCTCCTCAGCGGCAGCGGCGGCGCCATCACCGGGCACGTGGGGGCCGCTCCTGGCAGCGACAGCGACCTCACGGCCACCGCCGCCGCCGCGGCCATAGCTACCGCCGCCGTCGGCGACGCCGTCGGGTGTGGCATCGTAAATACACCCGGTGCTGCCTGCTTGGAGTCCGGCTCGTTACCAGGAGTCAAACCGTTGAGTGCAGGCGCCGCTGCCGCCGCCGCCACCGTGCCACGTTCGCAGCCTAGCTGCAGGCCAAAATTTCCATCATTCCCTTCTCCATGGCCTCCAGCCCGGCCTCCTCGTTCGCCATTGCCGTCAGCACTGCCATCTCGTCCAGCTCTACTGTTTGGGTCAAAGCGTGTGGAGGACACGGAGCGCACAGACTGGCTGGCGGCCGGTGATGAAACAGCCGCAACCGCCATGGCATCCGCCGCCGCTACTGCTGTTTTCACGGCAGTAGCAGTCGTAGAAGGAGCGACTGGGCCGGCTTGTGTCGCTGCCGTACACGTCAGCGGTCGCTGGCTCCCCGCCGCTAATGAAGCCGTACCTAATGCAGGCGGTTCAGGGCCCGAGGCAGTCTCCAAATCCAGGGCCGCTGAACCTGCCCTGGCTTCTGGAACAGCGACTGCCGTGCTCCGCACTCGAACAATGCCACGTGCAGTTGAGGTCGAGCCCGCTGGGGCGTCTTCCACGGAATCTGGTTCTTTGTGGCGGTTGTCTGCTGCGCCTCGTTGAGACGACGTGCTCTGATGGCCCTTATTGCGAGTTGGAACCAGCTCGCGGCTATGCGCCCGAGCTGCGTTAATGGTTGCCTCAGGGATCCTCCTCACGGTTCTGGCAGCCTGGGTCGTGTTGCCATGCGCTATGCATTGTTTCAATTCCCCTGATAACTCTTCTTCTTTTGATGCCCACATGGCCTTTTGGTCCTTGCTACGGCGTTCGCTCGAGATTACGGAGCGGCAACGACGAGTACATGGCAGGCTGCTGCAGAAGCTAACGGTGTAACTGTTGAAGCTTATTCCCAATTTGAACTGAAAAGGAACCCGCAGGATGGCAATTCGCTGCCTTGACGAACCGTGGGGGCCTCGATGGCAGCCGGCTTCCGAACGCCCGAACGCCCTTTGCTGCGGCTGCTGGAGAGTATACTTGTAAAGCCGCTATGGCTTTATTGACTGAGAAATCTGCAGTGGCGATTCAGTATTGCCCTTCAGCTCCGTTGTTTGGCCTTGGTGCGTGGAAGTACACTGATCCCGGATCCACTGATCCACAGGAGCCCGGATCACAATATTGCAAAAAACATTCCATTTCTTACGCTGTTTCGGATGTCCAAAAAAGTAGGCAATTCGTATAGGGTTGAAAACTAGAGAGGGCTACGGTTTATGCCCCTTCGCAGTATAGCGTTCAAGAGGAAGGGACAGCTACTATGCCAACATAGAGCTTAAGTTATAATTAGGTCTCTGGGAATATCTGATTTTCAAGATAAATTGCGCAGGCAGGACGAGACAGGACCCCTGGCGCATAGCCCCCGCCTGTAAGAGCAGAATAAGAGAACAATATATAATTCTTCTATTGACGTGGGCGGAGGTGCTACGTTCGCTAGGCCCGGGTTACATGTACTGTCTGGATCTGTAATGGCGATGTGGTAAGCAAAAACTCGGAATTGCGAGGCCGCACGTTGCAGGGCGCACAGCAATAGCCGCAATGCACTATTATTATCAGGCAAACCTGAAACGCATCATTAAAGCAATTCGTGAAGATTGTGCTTTGCAGTCAATTTACATGGTATGCATAGACCATTGCCCCCGGCCTTTGAAGGTGACCCCCTGAACTTGTAACTTGTATACGGTGGTGGTGATTTGGGTTCGATATAAGCTGTAAGTGGCTGAACCGGAGCTACTAAGGTTTTGGCTAGTAGTAATTACTGCATATGATTTCATGATTTCACACAAATGAGCCTTTTTTGGTGATGGGTGCTGTTGCCCTCCTTTCCTTGGTGCAATATACATAACAGGAAAGTGAGCGAGCTTATGCATTATTTTGTGTTTAACGGCTGCGGTTATTGCGGTTATGCGTTTCTCCGTCGCCCTGTATTCGAGCACACCGGGGTCCGAACTGCAATCGCTTGGACTTTAGCGAATATTTTAAATTTCAACCCAGACATATCGCTAGAGACACCACTCAGCTGATAAGACGTCCCTAATTAATAGTGCTTCAAGCTTCAACAATGCAGGTATGGCCCAGTATGCAACGATTCATACTACGTTAATTCAATAAGATTGTTTGTGCCTTATCTTTGCTGCGCAAAACGGGCAAACTTTCATTTTCATCCGGATAGAAGTCGCTGAGGGTGACCTTCGCTTCGGGAAATGGTTCTTGCAAGGATTCCTGCTCATCCTTGGGACAATAGAGCAAAAATATGCTTATTACTTGGTAGAGCTAAATTTTTGCTTCAAGGACTCGGTTCTGTAAGCTTTCCGTATGGCGCTGCGCGGCTCGTGCGGCCAGTTCTTGTGCAGGCGGGGTAGGAATGCGTAACGTGCGGGAGATTTCTTTTGTAGAAGCGGACATCAACTCTCCCGAATTCCGGTCACATGTGCGCCCATTGGCGGATATCCGTTGTGCGGGAAGACACATGTTTGCCGGCCAGTACGGCCAGTACAACATGTAACATCTTGTTGAAATGGATCAGGGAGCGTAGCATGGTGGAACACGACTTATTTTTGAACGTTCGAGGGTGGGTCGTGTTGCGATGATTGAGTTTGGACCATAAAGCCCGTAACCAAGAAGTACGGGCAAAACCTTCGATGACCCCGTTTTTTCACGATACGCGACAGTGAACTCGCTTGCACACTTATCGACAACTTATCTTTGTGCCGGTTGACCTGGGCGACAGTTTTGCGTTTTGCAAAGGAAGAACCGACCACGAAGGAGTACAAACAGTTCGCGGCAAGCCACGCTAAGCCACGTCAGTCAACGGTTAGGGAAAACATATTAGGCTGGCCTGAGAATGGTCGATTCATAGGCAACGATTAATAGCACGTTCAAAGAAGGCATTCAAGCTTTGCGCAGCCAAATGCTTGGACACGGCTTTGTGCGTGTGTGTGGTTCCAGACGCACGAAGTGTATTCCAGACTCACGAAGTGGACTCCAGACTCACGAAGAGTAGAGCCAGCGGTCCAGCTGGCCGTGCACTGCACTAGCGAGTAATATACAAATTAGACAATCACCCAGATGAGACAACTGAAGGCAATTAGACAGTCAAACCGCGAGCAAAAGGGACCCCCAATTATTATTGAAATAGGCCTGAGCCTGGAAAGTCCTCCAATTAAGAGAATAAAAAAAAATGGTGATAACTAATCGTCCATCGGTGACCGCTCCCGTGAGCATAACAATTTGCCTGATTCGCAAGAAGGGGTAATGTGCGCCAACAGAATCCCAACCTTTCCGTGGAAATCCCAGAGCTGCGAAACCCTGAAGGCGGCCCCAAAAGTCAACAACTCGACAAATGGCTCCTTCCGTAAGGGAAGGGCCAGGTAACAGTGCCGGGTTGGTTTTCATGTTTGGATCCATATATCGTCTCCCATGCTCCATGGCTGACACCGCAGCAAGAGCCACAACATCCCAAACACATTGTTGCACTGTTTGTGATTGGTTTTGGCCCCTCGTTTTGGCAAACTCAGGAACGCAAGTGAATCCAAACCCAAACCTTGCGCGCAAAGCTCAGATCTTTCTACGTCCAAAGGCCAGTCACAGTGCCGAGGCAGATTCGCCCAGTGATAACTGTAAGCTTTCTAGCGAAACGTATAGAAAACAAGATTCTGTGTGAATTCGGGTGATGTGTGGACTTGCGTAAATTATCATCTGTCGCAGCAAGCGACAGTGCTGGGGTTACTTAGTGTTTTGTAGGGCTACATACGGCTCGGGTGCTGTCCTGGAAGGGTTGGTCTATTGGTCTGTCTCGGTCGCCGTTTGTTGTTTAGGAAAGGTCTTTAGGCCAACATGGGCGTGTCTATGTCAACACTTAACCGCATTACTTACGATTTAATCGCTGATTTTGGGGCCCGTTTAACTGCTTTTGCGGCACAGGATAACCTGCCAAAACTTTGGGACACGTGCCTCAAAATCATCCTTCCTTATGTGTCAACGACGCAAACAAGATCGTTTGCCGTTTACCGATGTATAATGAAGAGGTCTGAGGGCTCACGTCTGAGCCTCACCTTTTCTGTATGAGCGTACTAACTGAGGTTTTGTGTCCAGTGAAGTTAGTACGGCCTGGCCGAGTTCTTTTTGAATAAGGCCCACAATGTTGTGCGGGAGGCGTTCCTTGGGGCGCAGCACTCGACCCATTCGGGGTCCGCTGTAACAAATCGCATTCTGTTGGCCAGGCCAAGTCCATCCCCTTAAGTTTCCCTTTAGGGGATGAACTGAAGGTGATGGGGAACAAGAGTTTGTGTCTTCTGTCCCCTTCGGGCTCCCTAAAGGGTTTGGCAACCCCTTTGTTACCAGGGGTAATGTACGGCCGCACCCGGCCCTAACCTGCCATTATGGCTATCTTTCATTCCTTGCAGGTGCGTTCTCTGTAACGGAGACTTCTCGTGGAAACAGGAGGCAGTGATGTCGGCGCTACACAGCTGCAATGCCGATCCGCAAACAGTAAAAGTGGCGCGTTGCAATTCATTTCAGTTTGACTTCCTGTGTATCCTTGGCAGGCAACACATCAACCGGACTGTTGCAGGCCGCTGCCATCCAAGTGTTTCACCGGTGGGTGCCATCTACTGGGCTGCCAGACCCACGAAACCCGCAAGGCAAGGTAATCGCCGCAAAAAGGGCGAGCATCGGTGCCTAAAAACGTACCATCGGTATCAGTTGTGATCGGTGTACAACAGCGCCTTCCCTCCAAATTAGTTCCGCCAGAGGTGCCAAAGCACCTCTCAAACTCCCCGCTAAACGACCACCCATCCAAAACGCGCCATAAAGGGAGCGGATTCCGAGCGCTTATTATTCCTTGGTAGAGAAGAGAAACAAAGCCGCGTCACGGCGCACATGCCATGCCGTGTCCCATGGCTCTCCTTGTGTTGCGTCGCAGTAAACAATGGCTGGTCCCTGTTAGATCTTCAATAAAGGAATGGATACAGTCCAGACACAATTGGGTAATTCTATTTCCGGGCGGCGCCCGGCCCAGATTCAACACCCCGCAGCGCTCTTAGCCGGCACACCTCCCGTCCTGAGTGCTAAACAAATCCCACCCCATAGCCGCTGGTCCCACCCACTATCCGCTTTACACAGCACGCGTAGTAACACGTTGGAGTTATGGTTGTTTGTTAGGCAGCAAGTGCACGTGGCGCCGGGTCAGTGGGCCGCAGCCCAGCTCAGTGCGACTTATCCACGCCTGCACGCAATCCCATCATCTGCAACATGGAGCCCGAGGAGGGGCTCACGGCACCGGCGCTTCGAAGACCTTCGTGGCTGCCCACCCGCACCTCCTACAGTGCACGGGGCCAGGTGGCGGGGAACCAAGGGATAAACAACGCAGATCGAACAGAGTCCCCCAGCCCCACGCCAAATCTGCTCAACAGCAGATGCAAAACTAGGATTTGGTTGTTATTCCTCACGACAGCTCAGACGTCCCGTGCCCCTAGCCCCTTCACCTTCCCCGTCCCACACCAGACCGTTTTACCCCAGCCGCGGCCCAACCTGCCCAACCAAACCCCAATCTTTCTCCTCCTACCCCATCTTCTTCCTTCCCCTCCCCCTTCCTCTCCCCCCAGCCTCACCTGGAGCCCGGCAGCGCCCCTGCTGTCCCCTAGCTGCGGTGTCACAATCGCCCCAGCCGACCTTTGGCGTATGACCCTGCGACTGATCCACTTCATTAGCTCATCCAGGAGTACCACGGGGGCGGACAGCGCCCTGCAAAGGTTGTCGTCAGCAACCGTAGTAGAGGCAGGGGTAGGGGTAGCGATAAGTGGTAGGGGTCGTGGTAGGGGGTAAGGGTAGTGATAGTGACACAGGATGCGTCCATGGTCAACGATGTGCGCACATATATCGCGCCACACCGGGATCTCCGCCCCATACCGCCTCATCATCGGCGCAGCCCTGGCCCTGGCCCTTGCGCTCTCGTACTCACAGCACAGCCAGCCATTCCGCGCCATTGAGCGACGTCACTCCGAAGAGCGCCGCCGCGGGGCCCACGTATAGAATGAAGAAGTGGAGGGCCATGGAGGTGGCGATGGCCCCAAGCAGCCAGCGGTTGTCCCAAGGAGGGATCACCTAAGGGAGAAGGGGGGAGGACGGGAAGAGGACGGAGGTCTGAGAAATGCAGTGAAGTGCGAATCAGCTGTATATGGCAGCGAAACTAGGTGGCAAGCGGCCCCTCGCCGTGTCGAAAGCGTGGGGAGTGGGAAAGGTGGGAGGTCGCGGGGGAGAGCCCAAGCGTGCAATAGAGACGGAGAGGCGGCGGCGGCGGAGACAGGGTCCCCGGCGCCATGCGAACATACGGCATGTACACAGACACGCTGGCACGCAGTTGCCTATGGCCCAGCCCGCATACCCCACCAGCAGACTGGAGTTCTCTGAGAGATTGTTAAGCGCGTTGAACATCTCCACCACCACCAGGACCGACATGGCGATTGTGCGCGGGTGCTGCGACTCGAATACGGCGCATGTGTATCCTGCAGCCTTGGCAGAGGGCTCTGTACACCTGTGGCAACGAGCAATGTGAAGGACGGAGAAGGGGAGGAGGGAGGAGAGAACGGGATGGTTATTATTGAATATGAGGAATGGCTATTATATTGTTGAATTTGACGGCTCGTTATTAATTTACGATCCGGGCCTCCATATATGTACACATCCCCGTGGCTAAATATGTGGCCCCGCCGGATCGTGGAAGGTGAAACTCATGGCCAGGCAAGGCGCAGTAGGCGGTCAAGGCCAAGACTGTGGTCGAGGGGTCGACAGCCCCTTGCGGAACGTCTCTTGGACAAGAGAGGCCTGCTGCCTCCCATTCTGCTGCAGCAGCTTTAACAGCAAGCAGCAGCAGCAGCAGCAGCAGCAGCGATCAGCCGTTCACTCACTTCTGGAAGGCGGTCAGCTGGCTCCAAGTCAGATTGCCCCCTCCTTGGTAGCCCAGGAACCACCACAGGAAGCCAGCCACAGTCACCAGCCCGACATACATACCGACCACGAGGTACCGGATGAACAGCCAACCGTTCACAATGGGCTCGTCAAGCCTGTTGGCGAAAAGGGAAAGTACGGAAGCAAGGGACGGGGTGAGATGTCATAAGGGAATGGCCACCGCCTGAAAACGAAAACCCCATCCGCTGGAAGGGGAGGGACGGGGACAGGCCGCCAGGAGGGGGACAGACACAGGGAGACGCCGTAGAATAAACTCAACAAGAAGCCTGAAGGGAAGCGGCTATTCGTCCAAAGGGTCCTTCAGGTCATTAAGACGAACGCGAATTGCCGAGCTGCCGGCACGTGAGCGTCAGTAGGATGCTTTACTTCGCACACACACACGCATGCGCCATCGGTAGATGCGTGCGTTGCCCTACTAGCATCCCTGGTGCGTTGCCCTAGCCTCCCCACCTCCTCCTGGGCCCCTCCTCACCTCCTGGGCCGTACCGCCATGATGTCCTTGTCCGGCTTGTTGAAGCCCAGTGCGGTGGCGGGGAGCCCGTCCGTCACCAGGTTCACCCACAACAGCTGAGGAGGCCGGGGAATCAGGGCGGGAGATGGGGGGGAGAGGACCGGGTCGGGGAAGCAGAGCGATGGGAGCGGAACATATGGCGTGTGTGGCGGGGAGATGCGGAGCGGTGCGGTGTGGAGGATCTGAAAAACCAACAGCCAAACTCGAACATAATCCGAGCACCAGCGACCCAGAAAGGGCGCAGTGTGTGACAGAGGTGCCATACGGGCTCTGAGAGGTTCTACTCGGCGGTCATGGCGCAGTGTGCAAGGAAAGCTGGAAATCTTTGCCCAGAGTGCACAACAAGAGGCTCTGCATGTCAGTGCGCGCCCACTCCTCCTCACAATCCGCAACCCCCGCACACATCCTCTACACCCCACCCCACCCCACCCCACCCCACCCCACCCCACCCCACCCCACCCCACCCCACCCCACCCCAAACACACCGACCTGCACTGGCGTCAGCACCTCAGGCACCCCCAGCAGTGCAGCCACAAAGATGGCCACCACCTCACCAATGTTGGAGGAGATCATATACCTGGCCGGGGTGTCAAGGTTCCAAGTCCAGAACAAAAATCAACACCCAACCCGCAACGAGGCCCAACACCCAACAGCCAAGCGCACACAGTAACACACTGTGGGGTTCGACTGGAACGGACGATTTTCCTAACTCGCTTGTAACACCAGCTGAATACCGGTGCTACTTGCGTCCTGGCGATTGCAGCAGCAGGTCCGCGACATCTTGATCCCGGAGCCCCGCTGCTCTGTGCTGCCCTTGCCTTCTCGGCCGTTCTCCTTCACCCCACCGATACGCAAGTGCGACAGCCAGTCTTCCTGGTTCCTATATGCAGGGGCTGTCCACCGCCGTTCCCTCCCCCTTTCTCTGCTTCCGTCTCTCCTCCCCAGCCAGCTCCCAATTCGGCGACGGAAAGGAACACCGCGCACCAGACAGCACAGACGACGTACCAAATACCTGATGAACTGCTTGGTGTTGTTGTAGATGGCGCGACCTTCCGCCACCGCAGCAACAATGGTGGCGAAGTTGTCATCTGAACAGCTCGATCGCGGGCGGGGGCGTGTGGGCACAGGGGTTGGGCGGCCGGGCGCGGGTGTCCGGGGTTGTCCACATGGGGCCAGGCGTGGGCAAGATAAGAAGCAACGGGAGGGCAGCACAGAGATTGTCTCTATATTGTTAATGTGGACTATAATATCCACATCGAACGTACCTCGAATGTACTTCCCCCTCTTAATCTGGTGAGGTAATTTCTAAGGTAAGTGATGTTACTTAGGTTCAACACATTAGACCAGGCCGCCGTGGCCCCACACTTCCTCACCCTGCAGCTCTGGACACTTCCAATCCGCTCCTTCACACCTTCATCCAGGTATCGAATCTCCTTGGCTATACACCCATCCTCCCACCCCCGTCCTCCCACATACTTCCCTCCACAGCACACGCACCCGCCAGGACCATGTCCGCGGCTCCCTTGGCCACCGCCGTGCCGCTGCCCATAGCCACACCGATATCCGCCCGGGCCAGTGCGGGGGCGTCATTCACTCCGTCACCCGTCATCGCCACCACGTGCCCCTGCACACATGGCGGAAGGACGAGGGGAGGGAGACGCGGTGGGAAAGAGGGCAGCACGCTTCGCATCGTTCATTGAACGATGAAATACCCTAATACGCTACAATCAACGTTCTTGTATTACCCAGTACGTTACTTGGGAGTGTGGGGACTCTGTTCCCATCGTGCACTAAAAAAAACGGGGGATTTGGCACGAGGGGGACGGAACAGAGGATGAGAGATGATCTGCTTTCCCAGAATGTACAGGTCGGGTGGGCCCTAAGGCAGAGCCGCAGCGACAGGGATGTGGCGTGAACGCCATGCTCACCCGTGGTTTCGTGTTTTCGTCCCCGCCATACACCTCCACTCTTCATCGCATATGCGCACCGCAACTGAGCGGTTTTCCACTGAAGCACCCCGCTGCGGTCGTGGATCATGTTGATAAAATCTTTCTTCCAGAGACTTCCCTGTCCCTTTCCTCACTCCCGCCGTCACCTCCCTCCTCTCCGACCCCTTTGTCCCCACCCACCCAAACCCTCTCCCCTCGACACAACACCCTTTGGGCTCCCTGCTTCATTCGCCAGCGGTTCACCTTACCCTCCCCCTTCCAACTCACCTGCGACCTGAGCAGCTCCACCAATCTCAACTTGTGCATGGGCTCCACCCGGCTCATTACCGCCAGACGGGAAACAGCCGCAGACTGCTCGGAGGAACCACCCGGGGAGGCGGAGAGCGCATCGAACTCTTGGCCTAGGGGGGAGAGGGAGCGAGTGGGGAAGCGTTTGTAAGGGGGAAGGTCTAAGAACAAGACAGAAGAAGCGACCACCCGGACGGGAACCTGGATGCTCCACTGGCATTGAGGCGGCGTGGGGAGGAGGCGAGATCGGAAAGATCACGACAGGTAAGGTGCGGTTTGGATGTGCTAGAAGACATGGAGCTAGTACGTGGCCATTCATGTGGTGGAGAACGCAAGGAAGGAAAGGAAACAGGAATATCAGGAACCAGGCGGAGAGGGTACGGAACAAGGGGGAAGGTGCTGGCGCCTTAGGAGGTGGGGAGGAATCGCGCGAATAGTGGGGGAAGTGGATAAGGAAGACGCATGCGCATGTGCCACCTCCCCTTTTAACAACAGAGGTCCAGGGAAATCGGTTGCAAGGAACAATGGCAGCAGCACCTTCTCTGCCACGCACCTGTGTACGACAGCCCTTGCAGTGCCGCCTCGTCATCTTCGGCAGCCGAACCGCTTTCTCTTGGCAGGAGGCCCACCTGGCGAGCAACCGCCTCCGCCGTGGCCTTGTTGTCGCCCGTCACCATCACCACGCGGATGCCGGCCTGGAAAAGGAAGGAAACGCAATCGAGTAAAAACAAGGAGAAGATCATGCAGGTAATAATAACAAACTCTAAACAGGGGTAATGCACGGAAAGCCGCACCGCAGGGCCTACATGAGATGGACCTAGTATACTTTAATATATATTTTAAATAAGGAGCCCTCTTCTATACGCGCAAATACAAACAAGGCACGGTTTAAAGCTACATACGGAGGTGCTACGCAGTTGGAACCTAAGAAAGGTAGTTTCTCTCCTAACGGGCATGCGCGACGACACGCCGTCATCCCGCACCTGTTGGCAGAGCTGCAGCGCCCGCGAACATTCGTTCCGCGGCGGGTCGTGCATCGCCACAAGGCCCAGGAACGTCAGTCCTGACTCGTCGGCAGGGGCGAGCTGCGGGAGCAACATGACCACCGGCAGCGGCAGCAGCCCGGGGCGGTAAGCATGCAATTATATTGTGGGGCAGGTGCGGATGCCGCGGCTTAGCGCTGCCGCAGCGCGAGAGCGTTAGCGGCGGGATAACTAGACCATATGGCAGGTCCGCAGCGGCCACACCGTACAGCCCCCCGCCCCAAATCGGAGTCTGCATATGTTCCGAAGACAACATCACAACATTTCCCTCACTGCGGAGGGTAATAAGCAAAGGAGAATGGCTGTCACTGCCCTCCCCGGATGGGAAAGAGGTGCTGCACAGCTCAACCCCTCAACCCCAACGGGCTCGCAGTCTTAAATACATGACGCTTCATCGCAGAAAAGAGAGCTCGATGCAAAGCCGCAAGGCCAGCCTCCCCGGTCCCGCCACAAATGCTAGAAGTAGGAGAACACAACACACCAAAAAACCCCAAAACCCTGCGTCCCCCGCCGCTCACGCAGCAGCACCCAACACCCGTCCACCCACCGTCTTGGTTCCCGACGGCATCGGCTTGTACGCCAGGGCCAGGGTACGCAGCGCCCGCCTGCCGTACCGCTTCACCGAGGCTGTGAGGGCTGCGCGCGCGGCATCCGTCAGTGGCACCACGCCCTCACCGTTATTGGCCAGCACAGAAGAGCAGCGCGCGAGGATGCTCTCAGGCGCGCCCTGCAGAGGCGAGGAGCGACGGGTCCCACAGCAACGGTCTCACAGGGTTGGACTTCAGATACCGAGATAGCCAAGTGCTGACTTGGGGGCCATCCCACCCGCACATGGGCCGCCCAGGCAGCCCCCCTGGAGAGCTCAACAGCCCGGTGGCCGCAAGGGGAGTGCTTTCCAAGCAGGATGGGGTTCCAAGGGACCTCAGTGGGGCGCTAGACACGGTCAAACCGGCTGGTTAGGGAGAAATCATCGTTAGGAGATGGAGCAAATCTGTGGAATTGCCGGTGGTGCGTGTTTTGGCTAGTCTCTGCAGAACTGCGATGGGATGCCTGTTGGCGTTCAGACGTATTCGCACATGGCGTCCACACCCCCCGGCGTCCCCCCCCGCCCCTGCCCACCTTGCTCCACAGCACGCTCCGGGCATCCCCCACCGCCAGCACGCTCATCATCTTCCGGTCCCTGTAGTGCAGTTGCCCGAGCACGGGAGCAGTTGCCGTACTTCCGTACTTCATGGGGCGCGCAGCGAGGCCATCGCGTCAAAGTAGCAGGGGCAATTTAGCGATACGGCGCAGAGGCATGTTGAGAAGCGGCATATACATGGGAAACAGGACTAGGGGAAAGGCGACACGGAGAAATGGAAGGGAAAGTGGAGGTGTGTAAACCCAACCCAGGATCATCTGTCTTGTGTTCCCCTAAACCCCTCCGAACGCTCCCCCTCCCCCTCTCCCTCTCCCTTTCCCCACCACGGCACTCGACCTGGTGAACTCCAGGGTTGCGTTCCGGTTGAACCTCTCCGCCCAGTGTGTGTTGCAGTGCAGCTCCCTGCGAACGGCTCCCATGCTGACGGCCGCCGGGCCGGATCCCGCCACGTAGAGCGGACCCGGGTGGTCGCCCACGGAGGCGGGTAGACCCACCTGGGGGAGGAACAGGTGGAGGAGGAGGCCGGAGAAGGGACGGCGGCCAGGTAGCGGGATAACTAACCCACGAGGAAACCAACCGAAAAATGATACATGACAAATAAATCAATTTGGCCAGTGTAATTCCTGCCCAATAATGTGTATGAAAGGGTAATGCATGTGTATGTGTGTGTGTGTGTGTGCGCGTGGCGGGGTGGTGGCCCCCGCCCGGAGGTTTTACATGGTTGGGGATAGGGCAAACATATTTGGGATAAGGCAAATAGCATTCCTCTCGCCAGTGTCAATCCCAGCAGTGTGGCAGTGGGCGGTTCCCACCACCTTGCGAGCGTCGCATCGCTCCACCACCGGTATTACCCCCAGCTGTAGATGGGCGGGGAAACCACCTCACCTTCTCCGCAAACACTCTCAGAGCCAGCTCGGTGGCCTCCCCGATTCGCTGGTACGTGCCTGGGGCAGCGAAGGAGCAGGGACAGCGGCGATTAGAACGTCCGGAGGAAGACGGGAGTCCATGAAACATGCAAGCGGAATGAAAAAAAGGGTAGACTCGTCGTCCGGATATGGGTGTAGTCTCCAGCGATTTGTGGACCGCGAGAGACTGCCAGTGGTAACCCTTGAGCTGCTCTGATGCTTTTGGATGCGGTACAGCTCTAATACGGCTATATACAGTATATTATACATATATATGTATATATGTGCATATCTGTTTCAGGCGGGGGCGTACGCTTGCGGCCAAAGGGCTGCAAACCTACCATCTTCACCGCCGGCCGGGAACCTGATAGCTGATACGCAACCAACCTGCCGGCTAGCCAGCCACGCAGTCACCCAGCCGGCCAGTCAACAGACCGACTGACTACTCACCCTTGTCTGGCCGATAGACGAGCGCCGAGTCGTTGCAGAGGGACGATGCCATGGCCAGGTGCAGCAGGCAGGGGGAGTCGGCGGGGCGCTGCAGGACGGCCCCGGACGGCCCCAGGATCATGCCCTCGGGGGAGTAGGTGGTACCTTCGCCGTGAGAGGGGAGGGGAGGGGAGAGGAAGCATATGTGAGAAAGTGGGAGGGGAGGGGAGGGGAGAGAGAAGTCCACGCGAGAGGAAGGTCCACAAGGAAATGAATAGACAGAGAGAAACGGAAGAAAAAGAGGGAAAGAGGGGGGAAAGAGGGGGGAAAGACGAACTACGAACGAATAAAGCTGCTGCCAAGGAAAGAGTGTACAAGAAGCAGACGGAATAGGGGGAAAGCGGGGGGGGGGGGGAATGGGGTAAGCAGAAATCGCGGGTGTAAGCATGGGAGATAAGTAAATCTTTTAGTGACGAGCATTAGGCATCACGGTGTGATGTGACGCAAAATCCACTACCTAGTAAACACGCGCGCAGCGTGAAGCCATGTCGCCACCCAAAGATCCGGAAGGCCAAACTGCAAAGCGCATCAAGAACCCGGCAGCAAACCGCCCTCCTCCAACCGCTTCCCCCCTGTCGCTTGTGATACTCCTGCCTTGCAGAAACCTCCCAACTCATCACCCCGACTCATTTCCCCGGCCCCTTTCCCCGAGCCCACATGACTTGTGCGGCTCTTCTTCCCAACCCCACACGGCTGGCCCCCGGGGCCCACACCTGTGACCTCAAACTCCATGAGACTTGCTCCCCCCGCAGCGCACGACTGCACCACCGAGCAGCCCACCGCGCTCATCTGGTTGGTGGTCAGTGTGCCGGTCTTGTCAGAGCAGATCACGGTTGTGCAACCCAACGTCTCCACAGAGGGCAGCGACCGCACGATGGCGTTCTGGGGCAGGTGGGTGTAGGGTGGGGTGAAGGGTAGGGTGTCGATGGGAGTGGCAGTAATAGTCAAGTGCAAGGAAAGCAACTGCCTGCTAGCGTCCAAAGCACAAGCTGCTGTAGGTAGTCCGAGTAGGGTAGAGGGTCGACTGGGGTCGAAGTAGGGTGGGGGTTGAAATCATATGCAAAGAAACCAGAAATGAACTGCAGGCGCCCGAAGTCCGAAACTTTAGGGTGGGTGGGGGGAGATTTAGACGAACCATTGGCGAATGGAGCAGATACCAAAGACGGGTAGCCCAGGAAAAGATAAATGCTGCATCAGGAAAATTTACGGACCAGTGATGGGGTGTGTTAATCTGGTGGGGTCGGGGTGCAGAAGGGAGCCGAAGAAGGGTCCAAGGACAGGGCAGGCAAAGTGGGCAGCCGGGTCAAGTCCGGGTCCAGGCCAAAGTAGACACAGCAGGGTGGGGCAACGGAGCAGGGCAAGGGCCCCAGCGGCAGAGGCGGGTGGGGCTGGGGGCTTGGGCGCGCAGCAGGGCGCGGGCAGGGACTCAGGTGCGTTCTTCAAGGACAACACCACATCCCCCTCACGGCGGAATTACCCAACAGCCCACACAAGCAAAGATCCTTCCATCCCAGATCCCCCCCCACACACATACAAGCTCCCCCACATGGAGCGTCAGAGCGCCCCCCCGCTCCAATCGCCTTTCCAGGCGGGGCTTCACACCTGCTTGGCCATCTTCCGGGTGCCCAGCGCCAGGCAGGTGGTCACCACGGCCGGCAGACCCTCCGGAATGGCCGCCACCGCAAGCGCCACCGCAATCTTCAAATAGTACAGCGCACCCGACAGCCAGCCACCCAACGCGGGGTCGCTGAAGCGTCTGATGTTCATGAGCCACACGATTACGCAGATGGCTGCGGACACCGGGGGCGGACGTGTTTGTGGATGTATGTCCGTATGTATGTTTGTGTGTTGGGTTGAGAATTCGGGCGCAGAGAAAGTACAAGAGCAAGAGATAATCCAGGGGGACCGTTTCACGGAATTGACCCGTTCTGTTTGGCGGATCTAAATCCAAACCTCAACATCAGCAGCTCAAGATCCCGCACAACACCTCTAGACCTAGACCTCCAGACCTCACCAAAAATGCTCTGTTTGCTGCCCCAAGTCCACCAGGTGTCCTCATTATCACCCGTCCCCTCCTCCCCCTCCCGACATCCCACCACCACCACCACCACCACCACCACCATGCACACCCGCCAAATTTCCTTTACCCCCATGCGCCGGGCCCCCCAGGCGCCGGCTCAACCTGGCCCAGCCCGGCCCGGGGCCCCCCACCACCAACGCCCAGCCTCGCCCTCGCCCTCGCCTCCGCTAGCCCACCTGCAATGACCTTGGACAGCAGCGTTCCGAACTCGTCCAGCTTCTGCTTTAGCGGGGTGCGCTGATCCTCGTCTGCGCTCGCCAGTGCGTCACGGATGCGGCCAATGGCGGTGGAGGCGCCCGTGCCCACCACCACACCGCGCGCACGACCCGAAGTGACCAGCGTGCCCTGCAAAGGGAGGGGTGAGGTCGCCATGGAGGGTGGAAAAGATCAACTTGGATTGCAGCCGGCAGGGTGTGGAGGGTTGGGTGGGAGGCCGTGCAAGGCCGTGCAAGCAGGCGTGAGGCGAAGCCGAAGGACGGGAGAGCAAAGAGAGATCGGCGGAAAGAAAGGATGGAGATGCAAACCTGGTGTGCATATGTGTACGCGTGCGCGTGTGTGTATATGCATCTGGAAAGGCAGAATAACAGAACGTCCTCCGGCCCACCCGCTCCATTTATCATCGTGGGAGGAAGAGGCGTACTGTTGGCATGCAAGGAAAGCCATTGGCATTTATGGTGATGATGGTGATGATGGTGATGTTACTGAAGGTAAAAGCTAGGAGAGGGTTCAGCAAGCGAGCCCCCTGCCAGAGACCCCTGTCGCACATCTGCCTGGACTGCCCACACAGGCCCATCACGCCTCGTCTCGGCCCGGCAAGCAAATCCACGCCTAACCCACCCACCCGCACCCAACCCCACTCACCGAGAACAACATGTTCGTCTTGTCCTGGTACACGGGGTTGTCCTTGAGCACCGGCCGCACCTGCTTGTCCACAGTGTGGCTCTCACCCGTCAAAATGGACTGCGGATGGGAATTACGGAGATGAACCACGTAGACGAACCACGGAATTAGGGTGTTAGGTGGAGGAAATCGTATGGAAAAGCAAGGACTCAACGGATGCGTATGGGAGCTAAGGGGAGAGGGGGAAAAGGACATTGCAAGAAGCTACATGCAAGAAGCTAAGAACCAGCTGCCTGGGAGGCGGGGGGGGATCGTCACGAAAGAACAAGGCAGGAAGGGGAAAAGGGCGCACGTGTGCGTGAGCAGCCCTCCACAGCACCCGATCCAACATTAAAATATTAAAAAACTCCAGTTCCAGATCCGTTTCAAGCCCTCCACCAGGCCCCCAAAACCAGTCCAAGGGCTCATCCCGGCCCCGCCCAGCCTCGGCCTGGCGCCTCCTCGCATCCGCATCATTTAGCCCACCCACCACCTCTTTCCTCCGGCATTGCACCCTAGCTACGCCCCCACCCCGCGGCCCCCACCCCGCAGCAGGACCGCGGCCCTTTTCCTAGCTTCGCTGTCCTGTCATCCTAAAACCCTGAGCGCCCCCCCACCCCTTCGCGATTCGCCGCCCGCGCCGGCCCCGAACCCCTTCCGGGCCCAATCCTTGCCTGGTCTGCTCGCAGTACGGAGCCGATCAGCGCCGTCAGCCGTATATCTGCCGGCACCTTGGCCCCCACCGCCACCTCCACCACATCGCCGGGGACTAGGTCGCCCGAGGGCACCAGCTGCAGCACACCGCTTCGGAGCACTGTCGCCGACTCAGCCTGGGGTTTTGCATCGCCGCGGCGTGGGCAGCACGTGCGTTTTTAGGCGCGTGGGTGGGTGGGTGGTTGGGTGGGTGATATACGAGGGGCCGCAAGGAGTTGTGCAATACGGAACATCAACTGCAGAGGTTTCGGAGCCAACGAGTGCTGCAATGAGCTCCACACAAGTCGCACAGTCCCAGCCCCAACAAAGGGCATTCCCAACGTCAACAGTCGTTTCCTGAAAACCTGCGAAAACTCAGAGGATTCGCCTTCCCCATCCCCATCCCCCTTCCCCGTCTGCAGGGGCGCCCCCAGTCCCCTCCTCACACGCACCTCATACGCCTTGAGCTCTTCGATGGCCTGCTCCGCATTACGCTCCGTAACCACACCCACCGTGGCTGTGGCCGAGGAACGCAAGTGTGTGTGTGGGGGGGGGGGCCCAAGCATTGCAACAGCAAGGAAGTGAGATGAGCGTGTATCAGCAGGGCTGCGGCAAACATGGGGACTGGAGAGAAAAAAGAAAACAGCGCCAGGCAAGAGTGTGCCCTCACAACCCGACAGCAGGGTCTACACAGCCAAAAAGACACCGGTTTTGCTCGTGATAAGGGTCACGCAATTAGATTTGTATTGTGGCACCAGGCACACGCGACGCAAAGCCGTCCATTCAGGCAACGAGGTAGTCCGGCGTGGGACCCCCCATCCACCCCTGAGGTGGAGCTGCCGTCCGGGCCGGGGCCCTCCGCCACACAGCCGGCGGGCGGGGCCCCACCACCCTGGACCATGCAAGAGGATGGGTGATACAACTGGACTGCTCTTTACCACAAGCCAAGCAACTGCTATAAGGGCTGTAGCAGCTGCTGCAAGGGTTGTGGCAGCGATTGTAATGGCTGCAGCAGCGGCATCCTCACCATTCGCAACCAAGATGAGGACAATAACAAACGGCTCCACGAGGGCCCTGTGCCAGGTTGGGAGGTAGGGGAGGCGGTGGGAATCACCATCATGCAAGAAGAAAAGAGCCAACTGTCGACGCCCAGGAGGCGATGGGGGCGGCAGGGGGACAGCGCGGCAGGAAAGGGGGATTCTTCTCTCGCAACCACAGATGCAAACGTTGGTCAGCTTTCAAAACCCCCGCCAGATCCTCCGCGGACTGCCCACTTCCCGACGAAGGCATGGCCTGCCTCGCCTTACCCGCGTAAGAAGAAAGCCGTGTATGGCCCCGGACGGCTCATAAACCCCCACTTAATGCCGCTCACCCGCACTAGCTCCACGCAGCACACACTGCCCAAGCATTTCAACACCCGTCTTTCTTTTCCTTCTTGCCGCGCTATCCATATCTAAAGGGATATCCAGGCTGCATCTCGCTCGGGTCGAACGCGACTCGAGACCCTCGCTCCCCCCTGAAACCCCAGCCCGTCCCGTCCCAGCCCGAGCCACATGAGAATCCGTCAACTTTAAACTCCCAACCCAACAAACACCTCCTATCCAACCCGTCAAAAACACGCACCACTGCGTCTTGCTTACCCTAGTACGCCTTCCCCATCGCTCAATGCTATGATGAAATCCGCCACAGCTGCCGCAAGCAGAATCTTTGGGCCGGATAGGGACAGAGGGGGGCCCGCGGGCGGTGGGGTGTGTCAGCGGTAGCCATGTCATCCCATATGGGGGTCGAGGAGTGCTGGGCCGATGAGGGCAGTGGGAGGGGAAAGGGGGCCCCCGCTCCTTGGCGCTCGCAAACATACACGAGGCCAAAACCTGCCCAGGGAATAGCCCAGCTTGTCTAACTCCATTTTAGATAAGCCCAAGCTTGGCGGCGCAGCTTAGCAATGCACGTTTGGTTTCCTTTGGTCTTGCGGACCATCTTCATAACACTGGGCTTCAAAACACACCCGCACCTTGACAAGCAAGTCATCGAACTGCTTTAGGATTAGCTTCCAAAGGGGTGTGGCTGCACCATAGGGAGGGAAAAAGCGGCAGGATTATGATTGCCCAGGGTCATGGTAATAGGCATCAAACCCAAATGGGGCAAAGCGCAGTTGACGAGGATGTAGGCGAAGGGTGATCAGCATTGTGGAGGGTTGAACTCCCGGCCGCGTTCACACGGTGCAAACAAGGTACCCTGTTCCCTTCTTACTTATGTGACAGCTGACGTGTACCCGAGCCAAGCCTCACCGTACCTTCCTCGGGAGCTAGCTCGTTTCGGCCATAGCGAGACCGGGCCTTGAAGACATCGGTGTCAGACAGACCAGCATCGAGGTTCACGTTGAAATACGCTGCAACCTGTTACGGCAGATTTCCCAGTACCTCACACGAAATTCCAACAGACCGAAATTGCATGGTAACGGAGGAGGAGCCTTCTTGCCAAGCTTTGGATGTCACGACGCAAGATGTCGATCAACACCAAACTGCGTAACTGTTTAGGAGAGAGTGCTGCCAAGCGTTTCATACAAATCATGACCTCCAGTACATGAAAATGCTTGCCTGTGAAGTCTCTACTTCGTGTGCGTTGTTCATTGTCACAGCCTCCTTCCCTAAACACCACTTGCACCACAGTCCCTTCAAGGACAAACGTTCTTAAAAATATGCATGTGACCTAACCTATACAAATGACTGTTTATTTGACGTTCGGGAAGCAATTAAGCGCCGTGTTGTTACTTTATTGAAGAGCCTTCCTGAGCACCTGATCTTTCTCCCTAGATTGGCATCGTCAAAGCTTCAATGTATCCATGACTGGATGTAACTCTGCAAGTTCAGGTTTTTGCCGTACTCCTTGATTCCGTTTGTACGAGAATGGGTCGACACTCCAGACTCTACTCTACGCGCTACATGTCCAGGCTCAAGGGCGCTGGTATTCATATGCAGCTGGTGATCACTTGTAACGCAAGGTGTGCGACAATTGTTCGTAGAAAAGTGGTTACGCAAAGCCCTGCTCCCCGGAGTTAACAGCGATACAGCGAAGCAGCCTTGGAACACCATCCAACAGACCGTAATGCATGCACTAATGGGGCAGGCCGGAACTCCGCCGGTGACGAAGAGGCAAAACCAAAAGCCATAGCGATCAGCCCTGCCCAGAATTTGATTTCGCAAGTCGATACCCGGCATCAGCTCTATAAACCATAACACATGGCAAGGTCCCAGTCACGAGGCAACCGTTGCACTGCATGGAGTTGTTCAGGACCGTTAGCTGGCCAGATAGAGTGCGTACTCACAACATATCACCGTTGGAACACTTACAGAGATACAACAGTATCTATGTAGCACAAGTGACGTGTCGAGTTTAGGGGATGCGGGGGGCACTACGTGATTACAAGCTAATACATATGATGACATGAGCACAGACACGGACACCGGCAGCAGGCAGGAGGAGGAACGAGAAAAGGAGCCGACGGGCTGCCAAATGTGTCGCCACAGGGTTTTAGCACTACTTGGATGCGGCATGCGCGGCTGGCTGCTGGCGAGGCTGCGTAATCTTTTGACAAGTGTAAAACGTGAAGATGGTGGACTGGTCATCATCAACGTCATTAAACCCGCTGTCGAGTGGAGACTTCGCAACACCCGTTGTCACAACATATTTGCATGACCGCCAAGATCAAACCCTGCCTGCGGCATCAGTATGCTTCCGACGCAAAACTCCAGTCAGGCAGCATGCCGCAGCCAGTCAGGCAGCATGCCGCAGTTTTGTTCAAAAATAGCCATGATGCACACTCCGCCACACCGGCATCCTGCCGGGGTATCATCACAAAAAAACACGTTATTATCATGAGCTCCATAATGAGACCGTGTTCCAAGACCCTAGCTACATCCTGCTAGATGCACATATGAGCAGTAACAGCAGCAAACGCGGCAAAAGCAAAAGGCTTGGCTTGGCTGCGGAGAGAAGAAGTCGATGAAAAGCTGATACTGACTCCCCTCATGCACCCGTGCCTGCCAATATGCAAGACGTGGGCCGCCTACCGCCGTTTTTTTCACCCTCTCGCCGAAAATGTACGTGCGACGGACGAAAAGACGGACGTCCTTTCACACTAATTAGCGCCGGATAGCCTTATGACCACGCGAAGCGAAGAAGAATACCACTGTGGCAGGAGCACGAATCACGCGTCCCAAGAATTTTGAACCAGTAACGCTAACAGCACACGCCAAGGTCACATGGGCCATATGGAACCGTATAGCAGATTCCCTCTACTTTCGTACGGAAGTGTACGAAATGTAAGCCCGCTGCCGCTAAACAGCCAAGCAACTTGGCAGGCGCAGGCGCGGCGACGACTTGCAGGAGAATCGTCGTTGTTGTTGAGAGCAGGAGGAGCAGGAGGAGCAGGAGGAGGAGGAGGAGGAGGATGGGAAAGCGCCTACCGGTTCCACCCTAGGGCCCACGGGTTGATTCTCCTCGATTTTATTATTTGCAAACCAATCACACGGCACAGGCCAATCGCCCATAGAAACAGCTTACGCTGCAACAAATAAATAATGCTAAGTGACGGAGTTGAGGTACCGACGGCACGCGACTGGTCAATCGGGCCGGGGGAAGCCTGGACAAGGACAAAAAACAAATGCATCATCAGTATTCCCTCAGGCCAGATATACCAAAACCGACTGCACAAAGGCTGAATCCAACAAATTCGTATCCAACGAAACGGAATCGACCGAAACGTGGAACACCAAATCGATCAGATCCCCAACCTGGATCAAGCGTTCGAGTCTCGGGACATGGATATGGGACCGTGCAATGTACCGGTCCCCATGTGCATAGCAACAAAGCGTTAAAAGCACGCAGCTGCAACGACAAACTCATCGCAAGATACCGAAAGAATCAGCAGCAAAAGCAAGTAAGCCGCCGCCGCCGCCGCTGCTGCGGCGGCGGCAGCAGCCGACGCTGACGTAGCTACTTCACCTGCCGTTGCCGCCGTCATGAACAAGCTAAGTGGCTGTGCAATGAACGCGTCACAGGGCGTCTCAGCTATCTGCCCAAGCAAATCACAGCAGAGGATACATATACGCAAAAAAATGCTGTAGCCAGACACTCGACCATGCCAAAGTACGGCAATGTCCTAAGCAGCAATGACAACAAATCATACCAGCGGACTGTATTGCTAGCTTTTGCTCAGTGGGATCCGGATTATTCAGATGCAGACCTTCTCAGACGTCTCTACGCCGCGATGCCCAACCAACAAAGCCGCTCGATTCTCCCCAAAGGAACGCAAGAACATTCCGTACATTCCGTACTTTTTGGCAGATCCAGTGCTTTTCCGTTCTGTAATATGGCGGTTAAACAAAAATAATTTAGCGCTGCAGTTGAGAAATTGAATACTAGTAATAATGGCACCCTCGGACCCCTGGCTTTAACGGGCGGTTTTATGAGCCGTAAGCCGCCGCGTACAAATACAGAAACATCTCACGGATCATTTGTGGCCGCCCCAACCAACGCACTCTTCAATAATGAAAGTCAACTAAGAGCTCTAGCTGCGCCATGTGTAAGCCATCTACCTACCAATGCGCACCAGGCAGCCGATACGATCCAATCCGGATGATGAAGCGCACAAAGGGTAATCAGCACATAATCCAAGTCAAATAAAACATTGACATGCCCTTCGGTTTTGTCATGTCAACTTCCCTTTCACACAGCGCAGCCTACCCGACAGCCTTCGCCCGCTTGTCCCCCACCCGCCGCACCAGGGCCTGAAAGCCCCTCGATCGCGTTTGCAGGCCCCTCGCGTCCTGGGTTGCCCCATCCTGTCATATGCATGCATACATGTCCCTGAACCTGAATTGAATTGATTACGGAACCGATTACTGCACCATGACAACAGCCCCGGCGCGGTGCCGCACTCCACTCCTTGTCCAGGCCGCTCAGCAAAACACACTGGGAAAAAAGCCGCGAACGTCAAGTTACCAGACGAACTGTCGAATGTCGACATTTCGACCGCACGGAGACAAGTTGGAGGCTGCCTGCCTCCGCCTGCGATGGCTTGCAGCTCCATCCTCTACCCCCGGGAGACGGGAGAGAGAACGACATACAGAGAAAACACTCCGGCCTTAGCGGGTGGCGGCCTTCGAGGCAACCCTCTCTCGCTTTCTCCGTGTGTTACAGCACCAGCCTGATAACCATTAATCGACGTAGCCTGGCCCTGGGACATCAGCTTCCTTCTGCGCGCTCTTGTTAGAAAGAAGGATGTCCCTCCGGCGTGTCTGTACGCATGTACGTATGTACGCATGTACACATGTACGCGTGCGCGTAAGCTTAGTGGCCCCAGCGGCACCTCCGCACCGCGCCGTACCGTGCCGCGCCGTGTGGAAATCGCAATTCAGTGACCGGTGAAGCAGGCAAGCAGTCCTCGCCCAAAGCGACGAGTGCGAACGGACTTCCCGCTGCCGCTGCCGCAGCCATCATCGCGCCCTCTTTCACCGCCACTAAGGCCCCGCGGGTCACGATCGCGACTGAGTTCAGTACCGCAATCCCCCGAAGCCCTGCACCCCCGCAACATGCCGCCGTCGCCGCCGGCCGCCGCCGCCAGGCCCTCTATCAGCGAAGTCAGGCCGTCCGCCAGCACTGAGCTCAGCAAGCCGCCTCCATCAGAGCCTTCCTTCATGCTTATGTTGCTGAACGTAGAACCTGCCGCGCAGCTGTGGAAGAAGGACGAGCCAGCTGCAGCAATGCGAGAGCCTGACGGCAGAAGCCGAGGAATTGGTTGCGGCGGGGCTCCTGCTGCCGCCGCCGCCATCGCCGCGGCGGCGACCATCAAGGCCCGGCGTGATAGTAGCCCCGCGGACGGCGGCTTGATGCTGCGTGACGTGGTGCTGCTCCGGGGCGGCAGGGGGGGCGGCGGCAACCCGCGCGCCACGGCAGCCATTCCACAGCTCTTCTCCACCACAAGTTGGACAGCATTTCGCCCCGGGAGCAACCTCATCTCGTCCCCGCTCGGAGCCTCGCCTTCAGCTGCCGACGACTCCACGACGCGGCAGCCCAGTGCCACTGCCGTAACCGGGGGCGCTGTCTCCGTTGGGGTGAAAGGCTTTTGTGATGATGATGATGCCGCTGCCGCAGCAGCCGTTACCCCTGGCGGAGCGCTGAGCGTGCTGGTCCCGGGGACGTGCCGCCGTACCGCCATCGTCTGTTGCCCCAGCAGGAACGCCATCGTGACCTCGCGCGTCGCCGGTGCCGCGGCGGCCGCATTGCTGCAGTGGGCAGGGGCGGAGTCCGTGTAACCCAGCAGGCGCGCGCGGCGGCGTGGCAAAGGCGGCGGCGGTGCCCGTCGGGGCCTGTCCTGACCCAGCTGTTCTCCGTGGCCGCCGCCGCCGCCGGTGGCGCCGGACGCGGGTCCGTCCGGGCCACTGATGTCCATGCCCTCACACAAGTCATCGCTGCTGCAACTGCTACTGCTGCAACGGCTACTGCTGGCTGATACGGGTCGGTGCAACCATCTGCCGGCGCCGCTAGCCTGACTGTCGCAGACAGCGCCGCCTCGCGCTTCCCGCTGTGCCACGCTAGACAGGGCCCAACCGGCCTCCAGGGGCAGGCACGGACTGCCCCCGGGCTGCAGAAGAGAGCTGATGTCATCGTCCTCAGCGCCTGGGTCGCTGATGTCATAGGTGCCGCTTTGCTTGGTGCAGCGATGCAGCAACTCTCCTGGATGACCCCAACCACGTCCTGCCTCTTCTGCTTCTGCTGCCATCGGTGCTACTGTTGCTGCCGCCTTCGCCTGCAGATTATCCCTCCTAGTAAACATGGCATTAGTGATGGCAGCCGCGGTGGCGGCAGCGGCCGACGTAGCAATGCCAATGGGCCAGCCGATATGCTGCTCCAACTTTGAGGATGAGGAGTTTTCAAACATACGGTTGCTGACCTCGGACAGCTCCAGCTCTGTGGTGCCGCAGCCATGCGCGGGCGGACAACTCCGCTCCATAGGCCGGTCAGAGGCCACTGGCTGCATTGCGCGGCCGTGGATGCCGCCGGCATCCCCGGCGAGCTGTGCTCTTCTCGCGACAATGTCATGGACCCCGGAAGGATAAGTGCCGCGAAGGCTGCACGCGCCAGCGGAGTACAGCTGCGGCCTCCTGCTCTCGCACTCAGCGCGGCAGTAGTGGCTGCTGGCAGGTGCTGGATGAAAACCGTGGTGCACTGAGAAGCTTGGCTCTTTCGGTTCAGCCGACACCGAGGTCGATGCCGATGTCACAGAGCGCTGTGTCGGATTGTTGGGTGCGGAAGAGCAGCACATATTCCACGAAAGTATTCAAATCCTCCTTTTATTTCCGGGTTGTCGGAGGTCCCTGATTATGTATACAGTGAAGGCTGCGGGACAAATTAGGCAACCGGATTTACGGCGGGGTTCAAGAGCGCATAAAATGAGGACACGACATGGAAACCTGTTTAGCCAGACGACAAGGAACAATAGCCGTCCCTTCAACAGTTATGCACGTGCACAACCCATGAATGTTGCACGTTGGCGGTCCCATTTAATAATGAACACGCTACACAAAGCGCATCACAGCACCGAAAAGCTGAATTATTTTTTTATCAGGTCCACATATCTATTATACGCATGGCTCTACCGGCAGTGGCCCTATGAAGGTTGCAGCCCAGCCGGCGCATCGCCCCGGGGCAACTAAGGACGTGGACACTCCAAAGCTTATTGTTTGTTGAGCCCTGCTGGAATAATCTAGGTGCAGGTGCCCTAACCGCTGCTTTGAGTGATCATCACCTGGTCCGTTATCCTCGTGTGTACATGTAGGCACCGTCGCCGCTGACTCTACTATCACACCTTGCTGGATGGTGCATTTATATAAATGTACATCTTTAAAGACAGGGTGTAACTGCTAGAGAACTCGAAGGCCTCACGCAATGGATCCTCAACGGTACAACTGGGTAATAGCATAATCGTTGACAAAGGTGCTGCTGCGTATCACAGCCAGCTCTTTGAAAGGCCATTGGACTGCCGCAATCCTAAATGACTTATCAATCCGTTCTTTTGTTAAGTATTTTGTTCACCTGCATGGCTTGCGGGGTGAGATCCGTTTCGTCGTAAGTGTCGATAACCTTCTCGGCTCTTTGCATGTGGGTCCATTTTAGCTGCTTCGGATAAAATTATAATTTCTTCCGCACTCCAGTCGCTTCCGAAATAAACCGAAGGCATTTTGACCTACCCAACGCGTCAACTGTCATCAGTTCACTTTACGTTTGCGCGGGATGTCCCTATGCCGTTTAACTCGCAACCACATATTTCAAATATCCTGGAACTTGTTTTTATTGAGAAAATGTAGTCTCTGAGAGACAATATTGACACTGTTTCGGGGAAGCGTTGCGGTTCTTCGCGGAATCTGCAAGATTCGCAGTACATTGGCGCAGTTCTTAGCGCGCGTTGCAGCACACCACGGTTTCAAATTTGAACTCTTACCTCACCATTTTTGCACGCAATATATTTCTACATTCCAGACATTAATCGTTTGGACCAAGGCGCATTTCGCTTCCAGACATCATCCCAATTTTCAGCAGCTGCTGAAGGGGATAACCGTACCATCATGCGACATGCCGACACATTGGACTTAGGAATACGCAGTCGTGGGACTTGAACCCACAAACGGCCCCTCCAGGGTGGACAGGGTAGAGACCCCAAGTTATCAACCAACCTCGAATCAGGTAACATTCCCTGGACACGGGGAGCTGCCGGGCCCTTCACACCGTCATATCATCACGTGTTGAACCCACACTACCCACGAACAAGAACAACACTGCGAACTTGGCTTCCTTCCTCGAGTGATAACTATTTCTTCAAGATCCGCGCCGGAGCCTGAGGGCAACACGCCTCACCCATCCATGGCGAGCCATGAGCGAGGGCGAGTGGATGCGGTGGCAAAAGCATTTAATTGTACGGCAGGTAGATAATTGCGGCACAGACACACACACACACTCACACACACACACACACACACACACACACTCACACACACACACACACACACACTCACACACACACACACACACACAAA